CAGGGTTCATGGTAAAGTTTTAGATTCCACACAACATTCAATGCGCTCTATCAAGAACAAGGAAAAGGCGTTTACATTTGAGAGAATCGCAGATGTACGGGGTAGGCGAACATCGATGAGAGCGGTGACCAGTCCTGGTTGCGCATCCGGATTCATTTTACAGTGATATAAAACAGGCCCCCAATTGTACAAACATTACTCACACAATTTGTGGGGCAAACGTGGAGGAACATAAATGGCTGGTCTAGTGGTTGTTGGATTTTCCAGAAAGTGATGTGTATTCGGCTCCGAGCATTGGTTGACGATTCTGACACAAACAGCCAGTGTCAGATCCAGGGCTCCTGCTAGTTTTTAGGGCAGTCTGAAAATCAGACGGGTTCTTAGAGCTTCGTCTGACCGTCAGACGGATTTATTTTGCCTGTCTTACGATTCAGACGAAATGCAAGGACGTGTCTGAGAATTCAGACGGTTTTGCATCCTGATTTTATCACAGCTCATCAATACTACCAAGTTACCAACATACAACATGACGTCAAAAGTTAGACTACTGCAGCTCCTACCATACAATGAATAATCATCAGCTACTACCATCAGGAATAATCAACAACAGCCTATTGCAGAGGTGAGCTCAACTAAGCTCACAAACTACTTGTTGGGCTGAGATATTTCCAATACTACTCCTAAGAGCACTTATTTTGCTGCTACTCCTGCTAATGCCGCTACTGCTGCTGCTGTTGCTGCTGAGGCTGCCTGCTATTGCTGCTGAGGCTGTCTGCTACTGCTGCTGAGGCTGCTTGGTACTCATGGTGATGCCTTCAGTCAGAGTCGGTGTCGCTGTCCACAGGGACCTCCTCCTCTTCCTCAGAGTCAGATTCAACGGCAATCATCTTCCCCTTGCCCTTCCTCCTCCACACAGGGCCAGCTGCAGCATCCTCCTCAAACACACGTGCTGCTTCCACAGCAGCCAATGCCTCTGCCTCTCGAGCTGCTGCTGCTGCTGCCTTCGCTGCTGCCTTTGCCGCTTTTACTGCATCGGACCTCTTCGGCTTCTTCGTCGGCCTCGAGCCCTGTGCCATCACAACTTCTTTGGCAGGGCGCCGCTTCTTGACTCCCCCGCGCCACATGGTCACCAGTTCCTCCCACTCCATCTCGTACTCCAGCAGCGAGATGGTCATCAGGTCGCTCAGGCGCGCATCGCAGAGGTTCCCGCGAAGCCAGCTCTTAATCACATTCTGTCGGCTGAAGCCGCGCTCGCACTCCACCGTGCTCAGAGGCAGCACGGCGACAGCAATCCACACAAGGACAATGTTGGGGTAGGCCATCTTCCAGTCGTCGCTTGAGAGCATGTGCTTTAGGGCAGCGTGGAAGTCGAGGTCGTCATGGTGCGTTGACATGATCGTGGTGAAGCTGGTGAGTTCCTTCCTGGCCTTGCCCCAATGGACGCCTGAGGGCGGGGGAGGGGTCGGCGGAAGGGTGGGTAAACAGAAGTCAGGAATGGGCAACAATGGAGAGCAGGGTTATACACGCGAGAGAGCAGCCACTTATAGACGCGATGACAAGGGAGCGGCCTTACCGGGCAGGGTGTCAGGGGCTGTGGGGTCGCGCTTCCACAGGTTGCGCAGAGACAACAGCCACTCCATGAACTTACGCTCGCGCCTGAACGCGGTTCGAGGATACAAACTCTGCTTGTAGAGGCGAGTGCCGTTGAGGGAGGACAAGTCGTGGAATCGGCCGCGCAGATGGCCGATCATCGCCAACACTACAGCAGTTCCCAGCTTCTGGAGTGACTCCATGTCCCCTCCGCTTTGTTGGCCTTCGATCGGTCGCTCATGAAGCTGGTACGTGTGGATGAGAGGAGTGCCGTTTGCATCTGTGCCCGAGATAGTAACGTCCTTGCCGCCAGCGTGAAGTTGCAGAAACTCGAAGAAGTCGCCCGAGGTCGGGCCAAACTGCGAGTCGTAGGTGACGTACCGGCTGCGCAGGATGAGGATGGTGTTGTCCACCATCCTAAGAACTTGCGTCACGTCGACCTGGGGGAGGGGTGCAAACAAAGAGAAAGCAAACATTATAAAGTACTCGGACATGTAAATAGAAATCATGCTAAGAAGGACGTACCTGTCGACGCTGGAACTTCAGATTCAACGCGTTGAGCTCCGCGAGGATGTCAGCCAGGAAGTACAGAAGGAAGTGGAACTTCAGGCTAGTGACAACAGCATACATCTGACTATCGTACTCCCGCAGCAAGAGGATAGCAGCTGGGAAGACCTCGACCAGCCGCTGAATGGCTTCACCCCGAGAAAGCCAGCGGATCTGATGGATCCCCTGCATCTCGAGGTTGGTCTCGGTCACCACCTCCTGCAGCTGCTTGAAGCGGTTGTGGACGACGATCGAATGGCCGAGGATATCCGCCAAGGAGCGGACCACCTTGTCGACCACACCTAGATCAGGAAAGTCCGCTGCCGCGTCCTTAGCGGCTAGGGCCTCCCTGCATGCATGGCCACGGAGGGATGATTAACAAAGCGCGGAGAAACAGCATGATAAAAGACGGGTGGAGTGCGAATGGCTACCTATGAGCAATGCAATGGCATGATACTAGATGCGGAATCCGAGTGCGAAGACGGGCGACAAGGCCCAACTGTGCTCCCGTCATCACGCTGGCGCCGTCGGTGCTGATCCCACAAATCTTATTGAGGTCGACCCCACATGACTCCAGGTGAGTCAGAAGCACGGCTTGCAGGGAGGCGGCATCGCACTTCTCCACCGTGAGGTGCGCGAAGAACTCCGTGGCGACCTCCGTACCGCGCAGGAAGGTAAGGTAAACGATCATGTGCTTCCCTCGGCGCCGGTCCGTACTTTCGTCGAGTTGGATCCCAAGAAAGGGGCTCGCCTTGATATGGACCATCTGCTTCGCCCGCAGGTAAGCCACTAGATTCTCGACGAGCTGGATGAAGCCATACCTGCCATTCGGGTAACACCGGAGGGCATAGGGAAGGAGTAACGCAAATAGAGACAGTAAGTTCAAACAAATATCATAAACGGCAAATGAGGAACTCGGATGAGGAGGGCTTCGCCTTTAAAACGTGGGACACTTACTCGCTCTGGTAGGTTCCTCGTTCCTTCAAGGGCAGATCAGGTGTCCCCTGTTCTGCCATGAACTGGACAAGGGAAACGAACAGAACGATAGGTGCATCCGACTTGCAAACAAAAAGCACGATGGCCATGAGCCGCTTCAGTCGTCGAGCCTCATTGTCACCGTTCTCGAAGTCGACGATCGACTTCTGCTTCTTCATCTTCCCGTCGCGCTGCAGTTTCTTTGCCACGGCAGCCTCATGCTTCAGACTGTGATGATGCTTACGCATTGTTTGCTTCTGAATGTCGATGCCGCCCTCACCGTTGCGGCCGTACTGATAGTCGGGGTCGTCGCCAAACGCCATGCAGACGCTGCACTTCATGCAGGGGCGACCCTCCTTAGTCTCGGAAATCACCAACCATGGAAAGTGGCGTAACCACTGCTCCCTCGCTTTGAGTTGGAGCTCCTCCACCGTCAGGAAGAATGGCCCGTCGTCGTCATTATTCGGGGAGCTGGGACCAGGATCGCCGCTGCTGCTGCCGAGCTGGATAGGATTAGCCGCAGTCGAGGCGCAGGCATGCCGACCGAAGCTGAGTTTGCGCTGGATGTACTTCGCCTTGTCAGACTTGCGGGCGGGCAAGACGGGCCCTCCAGAGACGCGTGGCGGAAGGACGGCAGAAACGGTTTGCCTTGTAGGTGATGACGGACGGGAAGGCCTAGTAGCAGAGTTGAGCTCGGAGCCTTCAGCACCAAAGATGATCCATGGCTCCGTGTCCAACGGAGGCAGTGGGCTCAGAGGAGCCACTGTAGGGGGAGGACTAAGCACGGGCGAGTGGGCGGCAGGAGACGGGCTACGCGATCGTGTACATGCTGCGGGTGGCGGACTAGCGGCGGGAGAGCGAGCCGAGGGTGGAGAACTCAACGCATGCTTGTTACTCGTACTAGGACTAGCCTCTCGACGACTAGTCGTATGTCGAGTAGCGGAAGGAGGCGGTGCGGGTTTGACAGGCAGAGTAGGCTCGACGGGCATACGCCTCTGATGCGGCTCAGTGCTAAGGGGAGGTGGCGCGGGTCGGGACCGAAGCAGGTCTAGCCCCGTAACCGTCGATGGTGCGGCATCTTTACGAGGGTTAGCATTAACCTCCTCTAAGGCCATAAGATGAGACACACGATATGAGCAAGAACTAGGTGGGAGAGCCAGCCAAGAATGAAGCACTAGGACGAGGGAAGGACGAGGACACCAAAGAGAGCACTCATGGCTGCAGGGAGTGGTTCTCTGAGACGTGGTGGTCTGAGATTGGTGGCTTCTGTGGGCTGATTGTTCACCATGGCGGCTCGAAGAAGAGCGGCTTGGGGTTGCAGATTCAATACGAAACCCTCGTCGTGCACGACGAGGGTGGCTTGCGGTTTCATCGGGAAATGCGCTGGCACATTGCTGCCCAGCGCTGCTTGCTTGGAACCTGGCTGGCAGCGACGGTGCCCGTAACAAGACAGTGGCGTGGCAGCAGCTAGCGTCAGCAAGCTGAAAATTTATGTGCGCTGGACTGTTTCGCTGCCGCGCTCGGGGTAGAATTGAATGCGCGTGCTGCGGTGCACATGGGACTGGGTGGCTGGCAGTGGCCTAGTGGCATGTGGACTAGTGGCCCTGCTGCTAGAAGGGCGGATTTGTCGGTATCAGACGGAAAAAAACGGCCGGTCTGATAAATCAGATGAAAGTGTATACCTAGTCTGATGTTTCAGACGAATTCTTATAACTTGTCTGAACGATCAGACGAATATATTTGGCTCGTCAAAAAATCAGATGAAACATAAAAACCCGGTCTGATTTTCAGACCATCAGACCGATTTGGTCTGATAACGGGAGCCCTGGTCAGATCGCCTGCCATTGAAAATGGTCGCACGAAAACACTGATTGGCTTTCGAAAAATGTTGCCGATTGACTGTAATGAGAACTGTTCACATGACACGGGTACACTTTGCTTACAAGGAGAGGTCCTTAAGGATAAAATGCCTATGAGATACTCCCGGGCGTAAAAGGAAGTCGCCTACAAGGCATATGACCTGTATCCAGGCCGAGATTTGAGGCTAGGGAGGGAATAGACATGGTATCCAGGCTCACTAGAGAGCAGCTCGTTACCGTAGCAAGCTAATGTGAGTGTCGCAATGGAAATGCTGCTGATTCATATCGGCGAACAATGCAGCCTGCACAACTAGGATGTTGCTGCTGCTGCAATGATGCCAAGGGCCAACCTAACTGGCCCGGTAACAATCATCACCCCTCTCCTCCTCCCTCGCCTCCCTGCCCTCGCCCCTGCCCTGCATGCACGAATCTGCTCTCCAGCTGCCGCCTCGCCTCCTCAGGGTCAGCCGCAGCAACAGGGTCAAACGAGCCTCCCAGGGGGGCTCCTCCCAGCGGCTCTGCTGCGCCGCCCATGCGAGCCTCCTCCTCGCTCTCTGCCATGTCATGCCATAAGTGCGGCAATGGATGGAGGGGTGGGGGAAAGGGAGCGACTTCATTGGGCCAGAAAGGGTATAGAGAGGCAGGAAATGCGGGAGGGAGAAAAGGAGAGAGGGGCGGGAAGGTGTGGTTAGGATGGGTTGGCGTGAGGAGGAGGTTGGTTGAGACGGTTGAGTGGATGTGGCATGGCCATGCGAGCGTGCCTCGTTTATGTACAGTAGCGGACAAGGCAGGCGTCACGGACGGACCGCAATAACCATGTGAGCGGCCAAAGCAGCTGACCAGACAGCCATGATTCTGCTTTCCACCCAAGTTAATTCCTCTCAAAGGCGGGAAACGCGTCTATAAATCTCCAGTTCCTCAGGACGATCCCAGCCCGCGCCACGTCATCACCTGCGAGCTCAGGGTAGAGCTCGGCGTTGATGGCTTCCTCCAGGTCCGTGGCGTCCATGGCCACCGGCAGCGGCGACGCGATGTCGTCCCGCGCGCCCAGCCCTCCCGCGCGCTCGATGTCCCACGCCGTCACGGGCGCCGCCATGTCCACTTCCACGCCCACCTCCCGCTCCTTCCCCGCCTCCTGCTGCTGCTGCTGCTGCTGCTGCTGCAGCACCTCCGGTGGTTGCTCCAGCAAATCTGCCATCAAAATTACCTTCGCAAGCGACGCGGCGGTACTAAAGCGCACACCAATCTCCTAGTGCAGTACAAACAAATTGGGTTACCTTCGACCCCTGACACCTATTTCACCGAGGAGCCTGGAGTCGGTAGTGCGTTTTCGGCAACAAGCGTATCTGTACCGATGCACGGCGCATTTTGTGTTACGGGGTTGTACTTGGACCAGCCAACGCGCCACGGGTGCATGGGGGTTTCGAATCATGACGTGGCAACAGCAAGAAAGGGCAGAAGATTTGGTGCTTGTTCTCGACAGAAGCATACCGTTGGGTAGGAAGATAGGCAGCGGTACATGTTTCCGGAGATAGGCGATAAGTGCGTTTGCAGCTGTAAATTGATTGTTGTTTGTGGAGACCATACATACTTCAAAGAAAACAACACTACTACACAAAATTCTGGAAATCTTCAGAACCTTTCATTGCAGATCTGTGCTTCAGGTCCTTCGAAAATCAAGAATCTGCTAGTTATGTAGACGTGGGCATGCATAGTGGTGCTGAAGTGGTTGCAACTGCTGTGAGCAGCATCTAGGCCAGTAGTTGACATGGAGTGCAGCTGATTACACCTCATGACCAAGTTGATGGTAGTGACGGTTCATGTAGATGAGGGGATGGAAGTCATGCGCACTAGTGGCCACCACCTGTAAAGCCATGCACAGAAGACATGTATCGTCAAGGAAGGTCTGGGATGCCATTTGGAAGCACAAGGCCTACCTGAATATGTCAGCAACAGAGAAATGCAAGCTACCTTTTCACGTGTTTTGAGTTTGACTAATGAATATTGCTTTCGCTTATGCATGAAATGTCAGCAACAGCAGACAAGCTCTGCAATACTCGCATCCACAGTGATCTGCTCGCATGCATCGGCAGAAGAAGCTCACCTCTCCAACAAGGATGATGTGGTCGCCTGCGTCGAAGCTCATTTTGCGGTAGCAGACAAGTGCTGCCATGCTCTCCTGCAACACCGGCACGCCCTTCACTGCGTCAAGCTCCTCCTGCCCCTCGGCATGGTTGGGCGGTACTTCACTCATGTAGTCCCGGAGTGACACCAATTCCCATGGACCTGCAGCCCTTTAAAACGGAAGAGCGAGAGAGAGAGAACTTCTAAACGGCTGCAGGTCCGTGGGAATTGGTGTCACGCATATAAGAATGGATAGAAAAACGGATCACTCATTTATAAGTCAGGACAAACTGGCCAGAGCTGACAGGCCCAAAGGTCTAGAGGGAGGGCTCCCAGATCGTAACACTGGGTAGCACTACGCGCATTTGTGCAAATGATTCTTAATCATTCAAAGCCCGAAGGAAGAAATAACTTACTCATTAAAAGGCCCTTTCCCCGTGTCATGCTGCAATCAATTCATGCATAGTCATCAGAGATAATCCCCACCACATCCACATGCACAGGAAAAGGAGAGCACAGAATGCAAACAATCAGTGGAGAATTGATTCCCGAAGTGTCGCCGTAAACGATCTCAGCCTTCAACATTGCCGAGTTACAAAGAAGTGATGTTAGGAGATGAAATCTGAAGAAAGGAAGAGAGCTTGTATCAGAAGGCAAGATCTGTAGGGAGGGAAGTGGACAAGCGCAAGAACAGCGAGAATTGTCCGTGCAATGAAAAGTACATGGCTTACCGGCTTAGCGAAGTCACCAGCCTTCTGCTTGTTCTCCTCATTCAACAGATGCACGCCGAATCCAGCCGACCTCTCCAACACCTGCACGCAGAGCAGCCACACTGTAACGGAAGGCCTGCCCGACTATGGTCTACGAAATTTGCAACGTCAGACAGAAAACCGGCTGCTTCGTGCCAGAGGTTTCAACGAACAAACCTGCATCATGAGAGAGTTCTTGCGCAAGCACACCGAGATAAACGGCGGCTCCAGTGACACGCTGAGACACGGTAAAGGAAACGGGGAGGAATGACAGTGAGATAGGTAACAAATGCTTTCTTTCTCGTGAAACCGGAAGAGTGGAGGAGGGAGGTGAATTGCTGGAGAACGATGAGGGAGGCATGGAGGAAGAAGCAGCTAGGAGCACTGCGAAAGAGGGGGATTCGTCCGAATCGAATAAAAACAGCATCGAGCTTCCGATACCGCGTAGATCCACGAAACCCGTAGTTAGGACTTGATCATGTGCAGGGATATGATTGTACGTGACAGATCCCTTATCATAAAAGGGGATTCGTGCCACACGCGAGCTTCAGATCGATCATACTCTCGATAGTGCTATCAATAGCATGGTGAGAATTATTCAATTCGTGCCTAGGTGGTGAGGAATTCACAGATGCAGCCACAGTGGCAGCTAAATAAGCTTAATTTCAATACGTGGTCCTTATCGAAGCACCCTAGACATGAAGCAGAGTGCGGCAAGCAAGGGCCTTGACAATGGATCCGCACCTTGTGAAGCTGCTGCACGTCATTCCTCTGACTTGCAAGTTGTCGTCGTTAGCTTCACCATAAGCTGCAGTTATGATGACCACAGGAGCGGGAATATGACGCAAAATGTCGAGCATAGACTCCTTCTCAAACTTCCTCACACTTGACTCGGAACCCATGGCGCAGGTCTGCTCTTCAGGAAGATTCAAACCTTCTAAAATTTGACTACTGAAAGCAATGCACGTGAGGAAGCTAGCGAGCAAGACTAGGATCCGAAAGCCTAGGCAAGGCAACAAGAATCCACAGTTTCGTAAACACCGAACTGTGTCGAGTTCATATGCCGTGACAGCAGGGGGATTCATTCATGTGACTGGTGCTTGGGCAAGCAGCATGTGTGTGCTGGGCTGCTGTGCTCTCCTCTCCACACACCCACTCCATTCGCCATCTCAGCTTCACGCGCTGACCTCACTGCTTACTGTTCGCCTCCTCTTGCTCCTCTCCTCCCCCCAGCCGCCTCCTCTGCTGCCTTGGTGGTGGTGGTGGTGGGATGAATGGAGGGCAGCGGCGCGGACCAAACTCGAGGAGGCATCAGTTTGCCACGTGGTTCACGCAGTCACCGATGCGCGAGGCACTGCGGGCGGAAAGAAATGGGTGGGTGCTGACTCAGTGGGGGAGAATATGCCGTACACCAGCAGGGGAGGGCAGAAGCGGACTTCGGCTCCCAGCCACTCCCGCATGATGCTGATCGGCGCGTTGTGGGGAGGAGGGAATGTTGAGGAAGTTGAGTGGGCGGGACGCATGATGGATTTGAGAAAGCTGGTTTGTGAACGCGGTATGAGCTGGAGCCCAGAGCTTCCATTTCCTAGGATCTGGGGAATATTTGGATCCACGTTTGCAATGTCCCTCGAATTGGGGTTCACACGTGGAAACACGAACTGATATTTCCCTCCACCGACAGATTTGTTGTGGGACACTGTGGGGGAGCTTCCATCCTGTAAATTCATAAATAAGTGTACACCGTAGGTTTCATAACGGTTAGGAGAAAGGGACAAGCCCTAAACCTGCACACAAAACCTCACCCCCCTTCACCCCCTATCTCTCATCCGAATTTTTTCCTGAAGCCAAAATTACCGACTCATGTGAATTTCACAAAATTATTTTCATGTTTGTAAAAAGAATCACAATCACGTAAAAGTCACTAAAGGTGTCCCAGCTCCTAATGCGCTCCAATCCAAAACAGCACATCTTTCAAGTGGATAGGCCACCACTATGCTGAGAAAAACGTCCAAAGGTTTGAAGTTTTACATTGCGTTAGAGCTCTCACATCACATGTGCTAGTTAAATAGAGTAAACCATACCGATTTTGTAGACACTACTACGGTAACCGATTATTGATCCATTGAGGTGATTGTGCTGCACGTGCGCTCCAGCCAACAGAGGGATCAAGCTTCAAGCCTAGCTCACTGCAGTCTCCATCAGATAGGAGCATCTGGATTTCGCTCACTGACCCAAGCCCAGACTCTGTATCCAGTGCGCCTGCGATATATCCCAGTGCTAGTCCAGGATCGCTTCTGACTGCGACATTATGCACACGCGATAATGACCAGGGTTCTCCTCTCGCTATAGGCGTACCGCGGTCATGGCTGCAGCGCTACAAGGAATTCATGGCGCACCAGCAAGCGCACGGGGCCACGCTCTATCGCCTTGGCGCGTGTGCCACCGTCTTCCGAGCACGGTCTCTCTGACGGTCTCGTCAGCGGTACTGCGCGGTCGCACTCACTCGCATGCATTGCCCCCCTCTCACGGCAGTCGGAGAGGGGCTTGGCTTGCGAGAAGCGCGCAAAGAAGCGAGGAGAGCGGAAGGAAACGGCGGAAAGTGCGGAACGCGCTGACAGAGGCAGCAGGAGGAGATGGAGGGTTGGGGGGAGGCGGAGTGGGGAATGGAGGCGGGAGCGGAGGTGGAAATGGGGGAGGAGGGGAGGGTTCGGATGAGGGAGAGGAGGATGGGCAAGACAGGAATCACTTGCTGCTGCGTATATTTCTGGCTCTGAATGCTCTACTCGAGGACGCATCTGCATTTCTTTCACATGGGCTCTCACTCATACGCACACTCCCAGGCATACTCATAGAACGCCTTTCTGATTGCACATTAACCCTCATTGCACATGCAGCACACTTCCTCCGATCTCTGAATCTTCCCCCTTCCCCATCCTCCCTGCACCACCATCCCGCCTGGCTCCGCCTCCCCCTCCTCCTCGTCCCCCTCCTCGCTCTCCTCTCCCCCTCCGCCTCCGCGTCCCTCATCCCGCTCGCCAGACTCAGCACCTCCCGCACCTACCGCTGCCTCCAGCTGTCCGTACAGGACGAATCCGGCCACCCGCTGCCGCCCTCCGCTGACGTGTACGACGCGTTTGCGGTGCAGCCGGGCGACGTGTTCGTGAGAAGGGACGTGGAAGATGCGGTGCAGCACCTTCTGAGCCTCGGATGGTTCTCCCACGTGGAAGTTTCCTGTAGACCGCAGCGCTCCGGGTGGACTTACCTGCAGCTCACTATTAAAGACATGCACTACCCCCCGGCTACTATCGCAAAATGCGTCAACGTGGGCGTGTCAGCGCAGGAGGGAGCAGGGGGGGGAGAGGGAGGAGCAGCAGCGCGTAAGTGTCTGTTGCCTGAGAGCGAGGAGCGGGAGCTGTCAAGGTGGCTGTCCCGACAGGGCCCGTCGCTCTCCCAGCCGCTGCTGCAGCAGCTCGCAGCGAGGATAGAGGAGTGGTATGCGCAAAAAGGCTATGTCCTGGCTCGAGTCAGAAGCTTTGTGCCGCCGGGGAAGGGAGGAGCGGGAGCGGAGGGGGGAAGAGGAGGGGGAGGCGAGGTGGTGTGCCACGTGGTGGAGGGGGACGTGACGAGGGTGCAGGTGCGGTTTGTGGACGCGGGCGGCAACACTGTCAAGGGCCGCACGTCGCTGGCGTTGCTGCACCACGTGCTGCCCCGGGAGGTAGGTAAGTGCACGTGCCCCTGCACCCACGTGCTTGCATGTAGCCCTGTGCACCTGCGCGCATGCACCAACGCACTCACCAAGCATACCTGGGCATTTCACCTTTTGATTCTCCTGCACCTTCCGAAACCCCACAGGCACCACACCATCCTGCCAACAACTCCCCCCATCCCCTCGTCCTCATCCAGAATGCAGTGCGAGCTCGCGCACAGCTGAAGGGCTGGATCACATGTCGTCATCTCACCTCCATGCGCCGCATCTGAGCCAAGTATTCCTTCCCCTCACTCCCCCCAACCCTTTCTTCCTCCCCAGCTGCGGCCAGGGGTGGTGTACAACGCGCGGGTGGGGCGGGAGGTGGTGCGGGCGCTGTACCGCTTGGCACTGTTTGAGTCGGTGCAGGTGCACCTGCGCCCGGACGAGACGCGCGGGCAGCACGGGGGCGTGGTGGTGGACGTGGAGGTGCGCGAGCGACCCATGGCCGCCGCCACTGCTGATGCCGACTGGAACTTCGCCGTGCCGCCCCATGGGTGGTTCCCTCGCCTGGTAATGGCCGCTGCTGCCGCCATTACCAACCACATCACTGATGCCGCTGTTAAATGGCCCGGATATGTGTTGCTGCATAAGTGATGTGGTCGGCTGTGCCTTGGCTTGCCTTTGCTCGTTCCTTTTGCGCTTCGTGCTTCACTTACCACATCACATGCCACGTCACACGCCACATGCTTGAAGCATTCCACTCACATGGCACATGTCCCCACGACATGCACCATGTGCTGGCGTCACCATGGCACAGGACTCCATCTTCCCCGGGTGTCGCGTGCACGTGGAGCAGCATGGGCTGGGGGGCATGAACCGGTCGCTGTACCTGGACGTCTCCACACACAACATCATGTACCCGCAGGTGCACGCTCACACTCATCACCCCCGCATCCCCTCGCATGTCTCCCTAATCACCTCTGGTCACTGTCTATCATACTGCCTCTTGTTTCACATCTTGTTCGCTCCCAATGTGAACCAACAACCAATCATTCCGCACTGCGTGCCATGCATGCCCTCGTCTCCATTCCCTACCACATCCCTCACCATCCCTGCCTTGTCTAACCACCGTGCCCTCTCCTTTCTCCCTCCGCGCCCCTTATTCGACGCGTCCACTCCCTCCCCCTTCCCCAGGACGACCTGTCTCTCAAGCTTGAGTACGTGCATCCGTTCCTTGACGGCCTTCCTCCCCTGCCACGCAACGCCCTCTCCCACCCACCCACCCGCGCCTCCTCCTCCTCTCCTTCCTCTGCCACACACACCTCCACCCCTCCCCCCTGCACCCCGCGCAACCCGCGCTCGCTGCGTGCAGCGATCTTCAACTCGCGGCGCCTGTCATCCGCCCTGGCCTTCCAGGGCCCCACTGCGCCCCTCGCCCTCTCCCTCGACGCGGGGCCGCTGTGGGTGGACCGCACAGGGGCGAAGGTCTCGCTCACTGAGGTACGACTGGATGAGGGTGGGAAGACGAGAGGGGACTGGAGGGGTGGGAGGGAGATGAACGCTTAGCGATAGCTGCTGTCTTATCTGGCGTCATACCGTATGAACCCCTTCCTTCCCGCTTACCCTCCTCTCATGTTCCTTCGCCCCCCCCTCCCGTGGCCTCCCCTCTTGGTCCACGGCACCAGGAGTTGTCGAGTCAGAGTCGCAGCAGCACGTCGCTGGTGTTCCAGGAGGTGTGTGTGCGCGACGAGAATGCAGCCATAGTGCCTCGCGTCTCGCCCTTCCGCCACCCCCCCGTTGACCCTTCCGCCACCGCTGCGGCTGCTGGGGGGATGGCGCCCATCACTGCCTCCTCTCCCGCCCCCCTGCCTGCTGCGGCTTCTGACGGTGTTGCGAATAGCCGGGGGACGGGGAGCAGTAGCAGCAGTGGCGGCAGGCGGAGAGGGGGGTTTGGCAGCGTGGAGACAAGCGTGAGTGGGCAGGGCGTGGACCACCTACTCACACTGCAGCATGTCGTGACGAGGGACGCCACACGCCGCGTGCACGGCATGGCAGTGGGCGTGAGGGACATCCTGCAGGTGGAGCAGGCGCTTGTGCCCTTCACCGCGCTGCCCTTCTTCAACCGCTACACCCTCGCCTGCACGCGCTTCCTCCCTCTTGAAACCGTCTTCTACGCGCTCTTCCCCTCGCCCGCGCGCCAACGGCGCCTGCAGCGCCGCCCGCCCCCTCCTGCGCGCTCGGCACCATGCACGGTGGTCCTGCACGCGCGGCACGGTGCGTGCATGGGCGACTTGGCTGCCGTGGACGCGTTTCAGCTGGGGGGTGCGCACTCTGTCAGGGGCTTTGAGCACGGGGAGCTTGCCACGTGCCGGCGCTTCCTTGAGGTATGTGGGTTGTGGTGTGGGGTGCCCTGTGGGCATAGCGTGCGGCTTTCAAGTGCCAATCTGCACAATGGCCTCCCCATGCTGCCTTCACCGTGGCCCTGCTCTCCATCAGCCCACCCCTCCTTCTCTCTCCCTCCGTGATGCTCCAACCCTCCCTTTCCACGTCAGCAGGGCCTCTGCAGTTCTATACACGCTCACCCCATCTTCGCCTTGCCTCCCCTGTGCCAGCAAACCCTCCCTCACCGTTCTGCCCCTCATTCCCCCCCCCCACCCCTTTCTCTGCTCCCCCCATCCCCTTCTCTGCTCCCCCCATCCCCTTCTCTGCTCCCCCCATCCCCTTCTCTGCTCCCCCCATCCCCTTCTCTGCTCCCCCCATCCCCTTCTCTGCTCCCCCCATCCCCTGTGCCCCCCCTGCCTGTCCACTGGCAGCTGAGTGGGGAGCTGCGTGTGCCGCTGCGAGCGCTGCACGTCTACTCCTTCCTGGACTGGGCGTCCGACCTCGCCTCCTCCACTGCTGTCCCTGGCAACCCCTCGGCGCTCTTTGCCAAGCCCGGCGGGGGCTGGTCGTGCGGCGTGGGGGCGCAGATGGGGCTCATGCGCCTGGAGGTGGTGCGCGATGGGCTGTCGGGCAGGACGGACGTGGGCTGCTACTTCGGGGACCGCTACTAGCACCTGTGGGTGGAACAAGGGAGGGGATGCCCTGTGGGTCATCATGACTCATGAGTGGGTTCGATCAGTGCTGATAAAGTGTTGTTGTGCCGTGTTGTTCTCGAATGCTGAATGGCCGGTGGGATGATAGTGCACCGTGGCCAGTAGTGAATGACTTGAGTTGTAAAGCATTGAGATTGGGAATCTTTGTCCGCACACAGAGCACATGCCTTCACTTCACTGTTGCATTCAGCTGTATGGAGTTGAATGCTTCTCATAATGCACTTGAACGAACATTACAATAAACTATATACCGGAACAAATGCACGTTCTAATCGACCTTGCAGCAAGGCTGGTGTATGAGCAGCAAACTGCCCATGTAAAGCAACACTACCAAGGCCATAAGGCAGCTCAGAATCCCTGAGCACGTTTGGGTGCTGGCCCCCCTCCCTGCTGCATGCGAGCCATGGCTTGCTGGCGCAGACCCAAGGTGACAGCAAGCCCACACCACAGCACACACAGCTGCACGCACACACACATGCAGGAGGGGGGCGGGCAGGGAAGGGGCGGGAGTGTATGCTGAGGCAAGAGCTGAGGAAGCTGGGCTGGCAGGGTGCGAGAGAACAGGGAGTGCCTGTGGTTTCAATACAGGGCAGACTTCAGGAAATGAGGCAGGGGAGTGGTGGAGGGGGCAGGAGGGGGCAGGAGGGAGGGACGGATGGAGGTTGTGGTGGTGAGGGCAGTTACCGGGACGGTGTAGGTGGCAACACCAGAGGGCCCCAGGAGGAACACCCCGCCCAGCAGGCGGAAGAAGCCCGCTGCTGCTGCATCTCCCAGGCGCTGCACCACCGTGTCTATTGTCACCTGGGGAGGTGGGGAGGTGGCAGGGAATGGGACATGTCAGGATGGGAGTGGCAGCGTGGAGCGTGTGTGAGGAAGGTAAGGCCACAGGGTTTGAGTCCTCCATGAGTGCATGTGGGGCGGTGATTTGGGTGTGCGCATGTGTGTTTGTGGTGTGCGTGGGAGGGTTGTGTACATGGTGGGGGTGGATGTGGTGTGAGTGCATGTGCGTGAGCGCACCTTGGCCTTGTACTTCTCCTCGCGCGTCACCACTGTGAAGAGAATCTCGCGACTGGGCCGCGTCAACACATATGTCACCACCTACACGGGATGGGACCAGACGGGAGGGAGGAAGAGAGGCGAAAGGCGCAGGAAGAAGAAGAGTAAGTATTGGGAGTTAAGTTGGAAAGTTGAAGAGGAAAGAGAGTGGGGAAGGGGTGTGAGGGGGGGGAGAAACGAGAGACACTATGTGAAGTGAATCACCATGTGCATGCGCATGTGCATCACCATATGCATGCGCATGTGCATCTCCATGTGCATGCGCATGTGCATCTCCATGTGCATGCGCATGTGCATCTCCATGTGCATGCGCATGTGCATCTCCACGTGCATGCGCATGTGCATCACCATGTGCATGCGCATGTGCATCTCCATGTGCATGCGCATGTGCATCTCCATGTGCATGCGCATGTGCATCTCCATGTGCATGCGCATGTGCATCACCATGTGCATGCGCATGTGCATCACCATGTGCATGCGAGCGCATCACCTTGCGCAGGGCCTCGGAGCCAGCCACAACGAGAGGAGTGGGGTGCCATGCAATGGCCGCCATGCCTATGAGTGCCGCCACTGGCGATGCTGCGAGCGCTGCTGCCACTCCAAACGTTGTGAGTAGACGACCCGTGAGCGTGAGTTGAAAGACAACGGTGGCCACCGCAGAGAGCGAGTTGATGTTGGCTATGGCCTTGCGCCGCTGCACCGGATCCACCACTGATGTCGCCACCACTGATGACCTCTGCTCCCATCCCATCCCATCCCATGCCATCCCATGCCATGCCATCCCATGCCATGCCATGCCATGGGCAGATGTAGTGTCAGGAGACAACAAGAACCGAAACAACAATGGCAAAGGCATGTGATACTCTGTATAGCATGCACGGTGCATACAGTATGGTGCATGAAGCATGGTGCATGGAACATCCTCCGTGCTGCATGAGCCATCGAGCACAGCCGGGGGTGCATACCTCGAAGTAGAAGAAGGAGGAGACGATAGCAGTGAGCATGAGGAAGGCGCAGACGTGCAGCAGGTACGACGACGACAGCACTAGCCGCACCCCCGCCACCAAATCCCTCAACCCCCCACCCTGCCACCCGCCCCTGCTGCTCCTGCCGCCCCTGCTGCTGCTACAGCAGCAAGGCGCGCACATGGTGCCTGCATGGTTCACACTCCCTGCTTCGCTGCCAGCACAGCAGGGCGCAGCAGCAGCAGCAGGTGGATTGACATGCCGTTGCAAATGGAAGTGCGTGCATGGCAGGCCATTCACTGGATCCCTCAACACGCCTTCACTGCCCTGCCCCTTGCCATGTGCCACCCATCCCTGTGATGCACCGCCCACTGATTCCTCTCTCTCTCCACCCTGCAGCACCTCTGCTGCCCCATCTCCCCCCCCGGCTGCCCCCTCCCGCCTCTCCGCCCTCTCTCCGCGCCTCTCCCGTGCCCATGACCAAGCCCCCCCTCCTCCGTGGCTCCCTCCTGTCCCTCAGCCACAGGGGCGAGGGCAGGCGCACACGCGCACGAGTCAACGCCCCGTCTGCAGCTGATGCACGCAGCTGCATCCCTCTCTGCTGCTGCCCCTCCCTGCACACACACCCTCTCGCCGCCTCTCACCGCGTCTGCCTGTCCTGCTACTCTGCATGCGGGCGCATGACAGCCCAGCAACGCCCCCCTCTGCTCCACATCGCTATTCGATTCATCCCCTGCCAGCCCCACGCCCCTCTCTGCCTCTACCGGTCGTGCCCCTCGCCAGCCCTGCTCTTCCCGTTCCTGCCTCCCTGTCACGTGCCACGGTGCCTGCAGTCGCAGCCACTGCCACTGCCACAGCGGTCTGGGCTTCAGCTTGCTGGGCGAATTACCCAAGTCCATCCCTGCTGCTCCCCCTGGCCCCCCTTGCCCCCCTGTCCCCCCTGCCACAGCAGACCCTTCCCCACTGCCTTCACCATGATCCACGTCCCCTCCCACCTGCACTCCCATGTCTCCCGCCAGGTGCCCTTTCAGGTGCTTCTGTTGCACTACGATCCCAACAGATACCCCTGCATCCACTATGGCACTGACAGCAGCACCACTTGTGCTCCCAGAAACAGCACCACTGAAGTGACCATTCCCACTCTCCCCTCCTCCGTGCCTCTCCAGCATCCCCTTCTCCTCCCCCCGACCCAAACCACCCACCCGCTCACTCCGCCTCCTGCACACCAGTTCCCCCCTCTCCGCCCTAAATGCCCCTGCCGCACCTGCACCCCCTGCCACTGTGCCGCTCATTTCTTTCACTGTCCCCATTGTCACCTGTGCATCACCAGCAACACCCTCAACCATGACTATACCCTCCCCTCCAATGCTCCTCCCCACTCCTTTCCTCGCTGCTCTTCGCCCTCCCAACCCCCTTCCGCCATCCTTGCTGCGCGCGCTCTCCTCCCCTCGTCCCTCCGCGGCAGCAGCCTCTGCCATGCTCTGGGGCCACGACACAGCAGACCGCAGCACTGCACCCACTCTTCTCCCGGCCCTGCATGCACCCTCCCCACCCTCCCCACCCTCCATCTCCTCACTCCTCTCACTCCTTCCCCTTCCTCCCCCACCTCCCTCTCTCCCTCTCCACCCCTCACCGTCCCTCACCAGCATCTCTGGCCCCGTGGGTCCGCTGTCTCCTGCTTCTCCTTCCTCCCCTCCCTCCCCCCCTACCCACACGCCAACCAACTCTCCAGCCACCCCCTCTCTAGCTCCACCAGAGGATAATTCACTCGACTCAACGGTTGTCGCGTGGTCCAGAGTGGCACATGCATGCGCAATGTGTCCCACATCTCCCCCCTCACTCCCCTCCTCTCCTCCGCCCACCCTCCCCCTTTCGTGCAAGCCACACGCCCCAAGGCCGCCCCTTTCGCCCTCCCCCGTACCGTCCTCCTCCCCCACGCGCGCATGCAGCAGGCAGGGCGCGGAAGGGGGAAGGGGAGAGGGCTGGGCAGGCGGGGGTAGGGGGAGGAAGGGGGAGGGGAAGGGGTCAGTGTCTGTAGGCGCGGGGGGGGTGAGGAGGGCGTGGGAGGGTGTGTCTGCCGGTGTGAGGAGGGGAGGAGAGGGGGTGGGTGCAGTGGTGATGGTGGCAGGCGGATAGCGGGGTTGGTGTGTGCAATAGGCGCTGAGGGAGGAGGAGTGGGGCGAGGAGGATGATAGGAGCATGGGAATGGAAGCGCAGGGGCGAAGGGGAGAGGTAGCGGGGGGGGCAACAGTACGGTTCTGCACACACGTGCATTTTCGTGGGCGTGCATGCGAGCACCATCCGTGGCGATGCCCCTCCCCCTGCACCTCCCCATGTGCGCACGCATGCGCATCGTCCCCCCTGGCATGCGCGGCGTGGGGCAGCGCACAGCCATCGTCAATGAGGGTGGAGCAGCGAGCAGCCACCTCCATGAGCACCGCCGACAGGATGAGCAGGTCTGAGGGGGCACGGCACGCCGGGGTGGGGGGGGGAAGGGGGGGGGGTTTGGGGGGAGGAAGGGGGTGGGAGTGGGGGGAGGAAGAGGAGGACGTGGAGGGACTGTACTGTGTGCACTGCACTGGTTGGCTGACTGCCGTTGATGCAGGTGATGCCATGCTGCCACCATCCTGCCTCTTAACACACCTTCCTCAACCCCACTCCCTCTCATCTGTCGCGCTCTCTCCCCAACCCCCAGTCTATCACCCCCTCCCCCTTCACTCACACGGGCCCAGGGCAGCAAGCGAGGAGGCGAGCAGCGAGCCAGCGAGCTGGCCAAAGGTGGCGCCTGCCCCTATGAAGCCGAAGAGACGCGCCCCGGCCTCGCTGGTCATGACATCGGCGAGGCGCGCCCACATGGCCGCGATGGCAAAGAGGTTCAGCAGCGCCACCTGGGGGGTGGCGGGTGGGGGGTGGGGGAGAGGGGCAGCGCACGAGGGTGGAGAGAGAGCGGGGGGGTTGAGGGGTGCGGAGAGGCAAGGCAGGTTGGACAAACGGATGGAGTGCAGGCAGGTGAGAGGCGAGTGGGGACGGTGAGACACGAGGGCGATGGAGACGATCAGGAGTGACGCCAGAGCAGGAAATGGTGGGGGAGAGGCCACGGGAATCGTGGGCATGCAGGGGGGGAGAAAGAGAGGTGTGTGGGGGGGGGGGAAGGGGAGGGGGGGGCACGGTGACTGACGAAGAGGAAGAGGCCGGCTCGCACGGCGAGGAAGGGCAGCGAGACGTCGGCGAAGACCGCGAGCTGGCCTGCAGCATCGGAGTGAGCGGCTGGGTACGGCAGCACTGCTGCGTGCACGGCATGGGTGGCCTCCTCCACAAGGGCGTCGGGCAGCTGCGGAGATGAGGAGGAGAGAGGTGCGATGAGAGGGAGAGAGGCAGAAAGGGGAGGAGTGTGGGGGAGAAGGTGGGTGGGAGAAGGAGAGCAGTGGGGAAGTGAGGAGGAAGTGAGGAGGAAGTGAGGAGGGTGGTCATGGTGGCAAGGAGATGAGTGTGCGCATCAAGCACCCGATCAACGGTGGGCATGCACGCACATGGTACTACCATGCCTATTGTCATGGGCGCATGTCAGGGGCACGGCCATGGGAGCGCATTACCTTGGGGAGAGCGGGGAGTACAGCGGGGGGAGGCACGAGGAGGTAGAGGCAGAAGAAGCCGAGGAGGCAGAGGGAGAAGAAGCGGTACAGCAGCAGCAGCGCCTGCCACGCACCGTGCGCGTTTTGGGGCACAGGGAGGAAAAGGGGGGGCAGGAGGAGGGGAGGGTTTGTGGGTTGGTGAGGTTGAAAAGTAAAGGGGGGAGCACAACTTGAAAAATGGCATCCAGTGAGAGCATGGAGTAGGGGTGCGGGGCAGCCTTGAGGGATGGATCATGTGCACATCGTGTGCAGGAGGGGGCGGGGGGGAGCCAGGAGGATGACCATTCGTGAATGCTCTGGTGTTTAAAGTTCTCTAATGTTCTGCAGCTGATTTTATGCGCACCCGGCCCTTGCTGATGTCGGTGCGCGAGAGCAGCGCGGACGACAGCGGCGCAGCGGCGACGGTGGAGGCGAGCGAGGCGAGGAAGAGGCCCGGCAGCGCGCCCGTGCCCAGACTCATGGCCGCCTCGTCGCGCAGCGGCTGGCACACGAAGTACGCCGCTAGCAGCTAGAAAGTGGGGGGGGGGGGAGGGGGAGAGGAGGAGGGGCATGGATGGGATCCAGGGGAATGGTCGTCGTGGGGTAGAAGCAGAGAAGGATAGAGGAGAAAGAAGGCCGGGGGAATGTGTACTCGTGGCAGGAAGAGCGAGTCAATGGAAAGAGACCAGGGAAAGAAAGAAGGGAGCGTGGGAGGAAACAATAGGTTGGAGGGTAGAGGGAGCAGCAGCAGGGGAAACGCACGTGGTGCGAGGAGGGAGAGGGGGAGGGAGAGGGCGTACGAAGAAGAAGGAGCAGAACGCTTCTAGGACCACCTCCATCTCCTCCTCGTGCACCGCCACCATCTGCCGCATCACGCGCCTCATCAATGCGCGCCGAGCCTTCCCGCTCGCCATGCCCCCCCGCACCCGCTGAGCCACCGAGGAGACGGCGCGCGGCAGCGCAGCGATGACGCGCCAGAGCTTGAACGCCACCTGCCATCGCCCGCGCGGGGCCTTCACGGCTGGTCGCACGGAAGCACGCGTCGGCGACGTCGCATGGACGACGTCGAGCGACGTTTCTAAAGGCATGGGAAGAGCCGGCGGGTCGGAGAGCGCACGAACGATTAGAACGGACTATTGGTAAGTTGGGCGGAAAGTGGGCTTAGGTGGCGCTGTGCATAATGGCTGGATTAAGCCTGCAGAGAAAGCGCGGAAATGCGAACTATGTGACCGGGTATCTAGGGGTTAAAACTGTCACATGGCCTTGATTGATTTTTACATGGCACCAGACGCGACGCTGCAGCCGTGACATAGACACGGGTGCCGCACTGCTACCCACTCCGTCTCGTCTACAACAATCAGCAGAAACCCGACATCAACAGATGAAGTGTAGGTCCCGACTCTATCTGAGACGGGGTTCGACTGGAAAAAACGGAGGGAAGGTCAGCAAAGAAGATAACTCTCTCGTCTAGGTTTGTAATCAGCGCAGGGCGTAAAGGCGAATTCGCAGCTGGGCGGAGTGCCGTGGGGCGACGGTGGGCAGAGTGAATCTGGGTGCACTGGTTTGAAATGAAGGTGGGCAATGGGCGACAGTTCCTGCGACTCACCGAACATCGCACTAGGGGTGTCGGTTGATAGGAAGCATATTCGTCGCACAGAGGGTGACACCCACCAGCCATTGACGGTCGATGTGCCGCGGTGCGACCACATACGACGTTCGCAAATGCAGAACAAGAGCACCTGGCCAATTCGCATTCTGGTTACAAACGGTTGGAGTTGAGCTTGCAGACGGTTTTGTGCATTTTCAGGACAGAACTCACGAAACCTTCTTGCGCGGGTTACTCTTCGCCACGACCTCAGCAGCTTTTCGTCTTGCTGGAATTGGGGTTGCGCTGCAAAAGTGTAGGAAGATGGTCCTTTGCCCTTTCAGGGAGGTGAAAGCGGTGAGAGAAGGTATATTGTGTTCCAGGGCGGTGGAGGGTCGTCCAACTGAAGCACGCGATGCAGCGGCGCTAATGTTTCAGGGTGCCAAATTCACCGCACTGCAGCACGCTGCAACTTGCGTCATCGTAACAACACGCTCCCAACCCCCCTGAAACTGCGAACACAAAACCTTCCCTTTCCACGAATCTGTTGCTTGTAACGCGTCCCCTTCTTGACGAACCATTCACGGGCCAATTTCCTGTCAGCTTCGCACAGGGCATTGTTTGAGCCCGTCAGCCTCGTTAGATGACTCTTGCGGCTGAGGGAAGGTGCAGGGGCTTGTGAGGATGGAGAACGTCGCGGACGAATCAAAAGCCGGCAGTTGCGGCGATGGTGTTATGGAGCCAATCCCCGTAGACGAGAGAGACAAGGGGAATGCATCCTGCAGTGACCGTACCGAAATTGCTCACTCGTGCGGCCGTCCCACGACAAGCATTCTCTGTCCCGACAGGGGCGCAGACGCAACTGTTACACCCTCAATGGTGCCAACAGGATTGTCAGAAGGAGCGCCGGCAACGCCATCGTGCAATAAGGGCAGTGGTAGCGGTGAGGCAGACGCAGCCTTTTTAGCCCCTCACAGGGCTTGCTGGCTGTCGCTGAGGGCGGAGTTACCCCGTCCGTCCACGGCCGAACTACCCCGCCCCCGTGCTGCGTCTCTTGCTACCAGCGGTCGCGCCACGATCAGCCCCAGACGTGGTCCCACTTCCGCCACTCCTCGCTCTGCTACTCCTCCACTGCCTCCTCCGCCTCCCTCCCTTCTCCGCCCACCCACTCCGCCCACCCTCCCCCGCCGCCACCACCGCAGCGGGTCCCTGGGCGCGCTGCCAGGCGCAGCGCGGACAGACAAGCACGCGCTGACCCCTCTGCACCCCCATTGGGCGACTTCCCGCCTGTCGCTGCCGTCTTCTCCTGCATGGTCGCCCAACAGGCTCCCCGCTGCTCAGGCCTCTCACACGCACTCTTGCACTCCCCCTGCTGCCCGTCCCCCTCTCCCCATTCCCTCTCCTACGGCCACTCCCTTCCACTCCCCTTCACATGCCCCATCTCCTTGGTTCTCGTCCTCCTCGGGCCCTGACCCACTTCCTCCCAACCCCGCCTCCCTCTGTGGTGCTTCCGGTCCCCCGTGCGGCCTGGGCACGTGGGAGTCAACTTATAGTGCTGTTGAGAGCAATGAGGTTAGCAGCAGGGGCGGTGCTGCTGAGGGGGATGAGCAGCAGGAAGGGGAAGTGGAAGAGCTGCAACAGCAGCAGCAGGGGCGGTGGCAGCACCAGCGGTCGCAATCATGGGGAGGAGAGCAGAGAGGCTGGGGAGGGTTCAGGTGCGGGATGTGGGGAGCTGGAGCAGGTGACGAGCACCCTGGAGAGGACTGTGCGGCCGGTGAGCTTCCTTGGGTGGTGATGTCTGGTCAGGGGAGTTGTGCTGCTCGCGGGGCCAAGATTGAAGGCCACTGCTTCACCTTTGGTTCGGGGATGTTTGGATTCAGTCCTTTGTCACTGAGTGGCAGTGCCAAGCAGGGTGTCGTGGTGCGCAGCCCGAGCCTGCCGTCCTCTTTCTTGCAAGCAGCCGCTGACGCTGTGAAGGCCAAACTTGCTGCTGCGGGGCAGCTCCCTGAGCTCAAGGCACGTAGTGACGTGGTGAGCAGGGAGGCTTCAGGCGGGGAGGCATGTGTCTCCATGGAAGGGAACAGAGAGGGGGAGTCCAGGTATGGTGGGGGAAGGAAACAAGCAGCAGGGGAAGGAGTGGAGGTGCAAACAGGAAGCTGTTCTGGGAAAAATGCAAGCCATATTCAGCAAAACGGTGGATCCATTGTCTCCACAGATTTGACCCATTCAGCTGGGCATGGGCCACACTGCAGTTCATCTTTCTCCCTTGGCCCTGCACACCTTGTGAAATCAGAGCAAGCAGCTGGTACTAGATTTCAGCCCTATTCGCCCCTGCCTCACCAAGAAGGGGACGTGAATCCTCTTTCCTCCCACTCTCCTTCCAATGCTCTCGATTCTTCCTTGGCTCAAGCAATTTCCCCCACGCCCTCGAAGCCTCCATCCATCCCTTCCATCCTACAGCCTGAGAACCTTGTGTTATGGGGACAGTACAACTAAGTAGGTGCATTGCTGACGGGCTTACATGTTTGTTGTACAAATATACAAGTGTGTGTATCAATTTAACGTCCCATTGGTTGTGCATGTTGTTTTGATATAGCTTAGGATGTGAGTATGCTAAGCATCTACAATTTATCGCTTTGAAAGGCTGTTAGAGCTATGTAGATTGGTTACATCGGAAGGGCACATCGCGAGATCTCGCGTAGTTACAAAGGGAATTGCGAGCAGCATCACCATCATGCGACACTTTGCGAAGCTCGCACAGCCCGTTGGGCTTTTGGCGAGCTGGAGCCTCCCTGTGCAGCATCGTGAAAAGCACCTGAACCAGACCATGCGCCCTGGTTTGGTAGGCTCACCTTGATCTTACCTAGTTCAGGGTTTGACTGGCCTGCTACCCCTGCTGCCGGTCTGTCTGTCTGTCCACTCCACTCCCCTCGTGCTGCTGAGCACCGTGTACGCCGCTGCAGTCTAGCTCCTTGGTGGCCAGTGCCACGTGGCACTTTCAAATAGCCTGAGCATCCCTCTGCTGGGGAAGTTGTAATTACAGCTGAGGTCGACAGGAACTGTCAAACCTGCACCAGCGTGTCGACCTGGTGATTTTCTCGAGCCCATGCGTCAACGTATTTAGGAGCATCGAGGCAGCCGCAGCAGAAATGCTGCGACTCGGCTCGCCGCTGTCCACGTCAGTCAGCAGCCTGCGCAGCGCGTCCCCGCTGCGGCGATCCGCGGTGCCGGGATCGCCGAGCGTGCTCTCCAAGGCGAAGAGCGCGGGGGGTAAAGGCCGGCGCCGGTTCACGTGCTGGCGATGCGTGGCGGCGGGGATGCTGGGGCTCGTCGCGCTGCTGGCGGCGGAGCAGTTCAGCAGTCGCAGCCTCCTCGACTTCAGCACGCTCGACAAGCTCGCTGAGAAGTAAGTCCACGTGTGCCACATGCGCGGCCGATGTGCATTGCCGCGTGCACGAGTGGACATCGCCTTGAGTAATCGTTCGACGGTCAGCACGTGGCATGAGCGGGTGCTGTCGCGGTCCCTTAGCCAGTGTGACGCACGCGTCGCTAGGCACTGCGCATGTACGGAAATGAGTCGCTCTTTCTCCTAGACTAGAGATTTGCCTTCACATGTCGCTGTCCCGCCGTCGTGCTGTTCCCGTACCTCACTCGCGACGCTCCTCAGTACATCCGATCTCTCGTCTGCTTCCCTAGATCCCATCCCGCTCTCACCTTCTCGCATTCCCTGCTCGCCCACCTGCGACTTCCCTGCTGTGCGTCCCCGTCCCTATTGTCCGCGTACCCTTTCGCAGGCCATTGCAGGGCGCGGAAGGCGGCGCAGCGGAAGGCGGAATGGCGCTGGGGGGGGACCCTCGCCTGCTGGAGGGGCGGGGAAGGGGTGGGCGCGGGGCAGCGGGCGGAGCCTTGCGGGTGCGCCTACAGGAGCAGCAAGGCGGATGGGGGGGCGGGGGAATGGGCATCGGGCAAGGTTATGGTGGGGGGGGAATGCAGAGGGGTTTCGGAGGGGTAGAGAGTGGAGGGGATTGGAGAGAGCGGATGTCAAGGCAACAGCAAGGAGGGGTGCTCTTGCAGGGGGGTGTGACAGGGGGAGCAGAGAACGCGAGGTGGCAGCGCGAAGGAAAAGCGCAGGGGCAGATGCGAGCAGCTGGGCAGGGCGTTGAACAGCAGAGACTGCAGCAGGAGCAGCAGCAGCGCGTGCTGCCACAGCAGCAGATGCAGCAGCAGCAGCAGCAGCAAGGAGAGGAGGCGAGGGTGGGTGAGGAGGGAGCGGAGAAGGAGAACTGTGACGAGTGCTGGGCGGAGGTCAACAGGCTCCTGGCCATCTATGGACGTACGCTCCTTGCACTACCCCAAACCACGCCAGCCCTTTCCTTGTTGCACAATGGCATGCCGCTATGCCATGTTACGAAAATCCTCATGCCATATCGTTCCATGCCATGTCACAAGAGCATGGCGCTCAAGAGCAGGCACCATGAATGCACCTGTACTTGGCACTTGTCGTGTGCAAGTTGCTGAAAAGGTAACTTCCTTCTTCCATCCCCGCTCCTCCTTCCACACCTTTCCTCCCTCTCCTCGCCCGGTGCCCCATATTCCCATGTATCCCCCCTCCTCCCATACCCACCACCACCCGCCAGCATACTCGCAACGCAGGGCCCAGCTGTACGGTGGGCGCCGTCGCTTGCTCGCCCTGCCACGGCGCCTCACAGGCTGCCTTCCTCCACACGTCCTCGCCAACCTCTCCCTCCTGCTCTCGGCCTCGCAAACCCTAAGACTGCCCACTGGCCGCTTGTCAGGGGCGTTGAGCCAGGATGAGTCAGCAGCCACTGATGGTGTTGTGGCGCCCAGGACGGGCCGAGCCGATGAGCATGATTGGGGAGGAGTGGGCGATGGAACTGGTGCGAGGTCGATGGTAGCTGAAGGCGGGCTCAGAGCAACAAGTGGGGGACACGACGAGAGGGCGCGTGGAGCGGAGGTTGGTGACGGTGGAGATGGGCGGAGAAGAGAGTTCTGGGGTGAAGGCGAGCGGCTGGAAACGAGGCACAGCGGAGAGGATGGTAGCTCTCTGGAGAGCAGCAGATTGCAATTGAAGGAAAAATTGGTGGGGCGGATGATAGGAGACGAGGGAGGGGAAGGCGATCACTTGATACAGGGAGGGCTGGATGGTGGTGGCGTGGATGGGGAAGCAGCTGTGATGGCAGGGGGAGGGCGGCGCCTGCTGAAGGCGTCTGCGGTGGATGTGCTGCAGGCGAAGCTGGTGAACGTGCAGGGCGACATCGATGACATCAAGGCCAAGATCGAGAGCGTCAAGGTGAAGCAACCGTGCCATGCCATGCCATGCCACGCCATGCCATTTCTTGGAAGGTGAAAGCTTTCTTTCTCTCATTACATGGATCCACCGAATTCCCCCCTCAGCAATATGCGTTCCATCCTTCCCTCTCCCCTCTCTCGCCTCGTCTTCCCTCCCCGCCCCATCCCCAATGCGTGCGTGCAGGCGAGTTTGGAGGAGCAGGCGGAGGCGATGCAGCGGGTGAAGGACTTTCTGTACGACCAGGGCAACTGGGCGCCCAGGCTGCTCACCGAGAGGGTACGCGCTCCCTGCTGCCCCATCCTCTCACGTGGGCGGCCGCTACTGTAACTGCATGCATGAGCTTGTCGCTGTCTGTGTCAAGTGTCCCGATTCACTACCCTCATTTAGAATTACCAAGCGCGAGGTGCAGCAGGCCGTCTGACTCCCTCAAGCGCGCTGACATTTAACTCCATGGCGTAACATGTCTTTCCTCCGGCCTTATCCCTGCCCCGTGTGGTGGTGGTGGGCAGGCGCACAACCGCAGTGTGAGCATGTTGGAGCAGCAGTGTGTGCTGGCGCTCACAGACAAGGCGGGCGACGCAATCAAGCAGCTCAACATGCCGCCAGAACGACCCACCTCCTGGAAGGTACTCCCTAACTGACAATGCTCTCCTAGTCCTCCCCCCGTGCCGTTCCATACACGTACGCCCTGCCAATCAGGGCCCGTTTCCCATGCATCCGCATGCTCGCACGTCACTGCGACCATGCTTCCTTGCATCCACTGCCCCCCCGTCTCCATCTCTATCCTCTACCCACCTCCTCCTCCTCCCCCCCCACCCCCCACGTCCTCTGCGGCGCGCCAGGGCTACTACTGCCAGGCGAGTCCAGCGGAGCTGGCCAAGTACCACAAGTACCGGCCGCACCGGCAGTGCCCCGACGACTGGTTCTTCGTGCAGGACCTGCTCTATGCCAAGGACTGCTTCCACCTCCCCATCCGCAACTGCTTTGCACGCGCACCCACCAACCCCTCCGAGGTACACGCATTGTGCTGCCTGTGTTGCTTCATTGTTGTGAGACCTCATGCTCCTCTCCTCGCCTTCGTGTTTTCTTGATTTCTAGGGCTGGGGGTTTGCACCAGTAAGTACTGCAGCCATGTGCCTCCCCCGTCCCCTTCCCCTTCCGTCCTCCCACTACCCCTAACCCCTACCTATACTGGAATCCCTGGGTCGTTATTTTCTCCCCCCTGCTACTCTCCTTGCGCGCAGCCGCTGCCGTTCCCGCAGTCGCTGTTTGACCAGCGCGCACTCAAGGACGAGAACGTGCGGTGGGGCAGCCACCACTGCAAGTCGTTTGCATGCCTCAACGCGCGTGCGCTGGGCGACTGCCGCAACTGCTTCAACCTCACGCTCGAGGGCTTCCGCTGGCAGAGGGCCTACAGGGGCTCCCAAACCATGGCCGACGTCGTCAAGCTCAAACGAGGGGCGCTCAGGTGACGCAAGAAGTGTGGGTGTATTGCGATTCCGAAGCCTGCTTAGTGGCAGGAGTACTTATGGTTTTTGGACGATTTCAAGGCTACTTCACACCATCAGAACAGATTGGCGAGTTTCTAGGAGGGATGTGTAACCTTACAGTGTTTATCCCATCGTCACCCCATACTTACAGATGTGTGTTGCTGTTTCCATCTCCCTTCACTCCCCCTTTGGTCCCACAGGCTGGGTCTGGATGCAGGAGGAGGGACTGGCAGCTTTGCAGCGCACATGGCGCGGTACAACGTGACGGTGCTGACCACCGCCATGAACAGCGAGACAGTCAACGGCAACTACGGTGGCCTGCCGTACATGGAGACCATCGCACTGCGGGGCCTCATCCCACTCTTCGTTCCTCACAAGGTATGCGTCTTCATTGAATCCCCTCCGTGTTCTCCGTTGCCACTGACCCCACTGCTCCACACACTACCCCTATCTGCCATGTTTTAACCCCTGTGTGCCCCCATCCGTTGGCACTGCAGGCGCGGCTGCCATTCTACGACAACACGTTGGACGTCATCCACAGTGTGAACAGCGTCAAGTACCTGCCCATCATTGACTTCGAGGAGCTCGTCTTCGAGTGGGACCGCGTGCTGCGCCCAGGTCAGTGCCGCCCTGCCCCGCATGCACCATGCCCCTCCATCCCCACCTGCCACCCATGCACAGTGCCTCGATTTGCTAACCTGTTGCATACAGCACAGCAATTGTTATCTTTGCGCAGCTTCCTTCTCCTCTTTAAATCATGGCACTGCAAACCTCGGAGTGTGGCATTCTCAATCTCTTCTTTGCACATGAATGACCGATGTTCCTGCAGGGGGCATCATATGGTTTGAGATGTTCTACGCGCCCATGGACGAGATGCCTCTGTACGTCGCAGTGATTGAGTTCCTAGGGTACCGCAAGCTCAAGTGGGGCTTTGCGCCCAAGCCAGAGTCGGGTGAGCGCAAGGGCTTCCACCTCTACCTCAATGCTGTCATTGAAAAGCCCGCACGCAAAGACCCTCGCAACGCTGCTGCTGCTGCTGCTGCTGTGCGTGCTGCTGGGGCAGCTACTGCAAGTGCTGCTGCTGGTGCTGCTGGCGGTGGTGCGAAGAAGGGTAAGGCAAGCCCAAGGGGTGGTCAGGGAGGGAGAGGCGTTGCAGGGCCAGACAGAAGAAAAGGAGCCACTATTGGGGGTGATGCCAAGGGAGGGAAGGAGGCGCCTGTGGTAGCGAAAGTGAGTGCGGGCAAAGGTGGGCCTGCTGTGGCAAGTGCAGCAGGTGGGGAAGGCAGAGGAGGAGGTGCTCAGGGGAAGAGTGATGCCGCCGCTGTTGCTGTAGGTAAAGGACGTGCAGCGGCGGGGAAGGGAGCAACTAAGCCAGGAGTGGGCAAGGGAGCTGGAACGGGGAAAGTGGTAAAGCAGACTATAACTCAAGTGGGTGGTTCTAGAAAGGCCACAGCAAAGGCTGCACCTGCACAAAAAGGGGGTGGGAAGGGGAAAGTAGTTAAGAGCAAGGGCGGGAAGGCTTCACAATGATGCTGATTTTCTGTATTTTTTACCAAAGAAAAGGGTATTTTGATCTTCCTCCAAAAAACCCAAGCATCCTGTTTTCACATCACACATTTGCAGCTGCTGTGTGACGAGTGTAGCAATCATAAGCTACTTCTAAATGCGCGCGGGGTGTACCTCCTCGCCCTACGATCAGGAAGCATCCTCGAAGCTGCGACCACAAAGCTGGGCAGCTTCTGTGGGATGGTTCGCGAAAGCAGTCCCGATGAGTGTTCTCGTCGCGATCCAACGGTTATCCTTCGGCCTAAATCCATCAGTCACACCCCCTATAAAATTGCTGCTGCTGCGGTGATGAACACCAGTCCCCTCAAATTTGCGCCCCTCAATTTCGACAATCACCTGCATTGCATTGCAGCACAGATACAACCTCCCCGCACCGCATCTCAATTTTCAGCTCAACACATGTGCGCCTCACTCCCTCGCTCGTCCCCATCTCGACTGCCCTTCCTTTCTCGCGCTCCCTGCGTCCTAGCGCATAAGGCTGCACCCAGCCCAGTCTTTCAGGTCAGGCATGGTTCTATCGGGATCTCCCCTGCGCCTGCACCACCCTCTCGACCCATCAGCCGACATGTCCAGGTCGGGCCGCAAGTCCCTCTGGCACCTCTTCCGCGCGGCGCTCTTTCCGCCCAAGGGCCGCCCGCGCAAGGCGTCACGCCTCCCAGACCATCTTCTTTCCCCTGGTGCTAGTAGCGGTAGTGATAGGGCTTCCCTTTCCAATCGCGCCGCCACAAGCGCGGGAGCTGGCGCAGGAGGGAATGGCGGCGGCGCGGCGGGCAACATGGCGGCGGAGGTGCAGCTGGCGGTGGGCGGCATGCAGTGCGCGGCGTGCGCGGCGTCCATCGAGAAGGCGCTGCTGCGCGTGGATGGGGTGTCGCGCGCCGTGGTGTCGGTGGTCAACGGGCGCGCCAAAGTGACTTTCAACAACCTCAAGACAAACGTGAGCGCCGCCTTCCTTAGTCGTAGTCGCTCCAACCTCGCTGTGATGTCGTTGGCGACGGCCTCGCGATGAGCCCACGCCACGCGGCACGTCGTGTGTTGCTCCCTTCGACTAGCGTCCCTCTCCCACTCCCTCACCTCCTTTTGAGGAGTCCTCAACTCCCTCACTCCCCCCCCCCCTACCCCCCCCCCTTCCCCCACCCGTTCCTTTCGCTTCGGCCTACCAGGCGGACGACATCGCGGCGGCCGTGGAGGATGCGGGGTTCGAGGTCACCGCCATGGACGATCCGCTCTCCTCCGCCGCCGCGCTTCACCCCGCGGGGGGAGCGCGCACCTGCCGCCTGCGCATCCCGGACCTGCTGCTCGTCAGCTCCGGCGCCGCCTCTCTGGAGGAAATGTTACAGGTGCGTACGGTTACCAGTTCCACCGTTACCCGGTTTTATTGCGTCATCTAATCTCAGCGTCGTGCCTGCTCTCGCTCACTCACTCCCCCGTTGCCATTCCCCCTCTCCGCCTCGCCCTCCCCTACCCCGTGTCCGCGCAGCGCCATGCGGGCGTGTTATCCGCGACCGTCTCTCTCTCCACGGCGGAGGCGCATGTCGTCCTCGATTCCGCCGCGCTCGCCCCGGCCGACCTCCTCGCCGCCGTGCAGCAGGGGGGCTTCCCCTCCGCGCATCTCCTCGACGACTCCGCCACCTCCGCCGACGGGCCCAAGGCGCACACTCTCCGCTTCCGCCTCCACGGCGTCGCTGCTGCTGTCTCCGCGCCGTCCGCGCCACCTTCCACTGGCGGAAACATTTCTCCCCGCGGGTCTCCCCGCGGAGCCGCAATTGACTCCGCGCGCGGCCCCCTTCCGCTGCCCGCGCGCATAGAGGCGGTGCTGTGCGCGCTGCCGGGAGTGGCGGCGGCAGCAGTGCAGGCGGAGAGCGAGACGGCGGTGGTGACGTTCGACCCCGACCGCACGGGCGCCAGGGACATTCTAGAAGCGCTGCAGGCGGAAGTGGTGGGGGTGGGCGGGGTGGAAAAGGTGGAACTGGCGGAGAGCGAGGGGGGGGTCGGGGGGAGCGCGGGGGCGAGGGAGCGGGAGCGGGAGGTGCGGAAGATGTGGCGGCAGTTCGTGTGGAGCCTGGTGTTCACGGTGCCCGTGTTCCTGCTGGCCATGGTGCTCAACCATATCCCGCCCTTCTACCAGTGGCTCATGACGCCCGTCGTCAACTCGTGAGTCCTGCCCCCTCCCCTGCCTCACTCCTAAACTCCCTCAGTTTCTCCCTCCCAATTGCTTGCATGCACACTCATTGCAGTGAGACGCCTAGCTCGTCCACTCACCTCCTCTCTTCTCCCCGCCCCACCTCCCCCCCCCCCATCTCAGTCTGCCCATTGGCATGCTGCTGCGCGGCATCCTCACCGTCCCTGTGCAGTTCATAGTGGGGTGGCGCTTCTATGTGGGTGCCTTCTACGCGCTGAAGCGCCGCGCAGCCAACATGGACGTGCTGGTGGCCATGGGCACGAACGCCGCCTTCTTCTACTCGCTCTTCGCACTCATTGCTTCCGCCGTCACGCCCCCGCACGCCTCCCCGACCCCCTGGGTGGTTCCTAGCAGCACCAGCACCGCTGCCGCTCCCAGTGCTGCTGCTGCTGGTAACCACACGGGCAGCGCAGCAGTGGTGCATGTGGCGCGCATGGCCATGGAGGGCATGCAGGGCAGCGCGGAGGCGGGCGGTGCGGAGGCGTCTGCGTACGCGGGGGTGGACTTTTTCGAGACGAGCGCGATGCTGATCTCGTTCATCGTGCTGGGCAAGTACCTGGAGGCCGTGGCCAGAGGCCGCACCAGCGACGCCATCGGCAAGCTGCTCAACCTCACCCCCGACACCGCCGTGCTGCTCACCCTGGAAGGGGCAGCGGACGGGATGGGGGAGGGGAGGTCTGCAGGTGGGCGCGAGGGCGAGGCGAGAGAGAAGACGGGGAAGGAGGGAAGGGAGGAGGAGGAGAGGTTGATGAGTGGAGAGGAGGGGGTGAGGGTGGTGGGGGAGCGTGAGATCGAGGTGGCGCTGATTCAGCGGGGCGACATCATTCGCGTGGTGCCGGGGGGCAAGATGCCGACGGACGGCGTGGTGGTGTGGGGGCACACATACGCCAACGAGAGCATGGTCACGGGGGAGGCGCGCCCCGTGCTCAAGGAGGTTGGCAGCCACGTCATCGGCGGCACGCTCAACCTGGGCGGCAGTGTGCACGTGCGTGCCACGCGCGTGGGCGGCGAGACGGCGCTGGCGCAGATAGTGCAGCTGGTGGAGGCGGCGCAGATGGCCAAGGCGCCCATCCAGCGCGTGGCGGACCAGATCTCCGCCGTCTTCGTGCCTGCCGTGAGTGCTGTGCCTATTCCGCCTCGTGCGCTTTGTGGAGTGGCATGTGTCCTGTCCTCATGTGCTTTCTGTATCGTTTTCTGCCGTCATGTTTCTTGCACCCATTCTCTGCTTCCTGTGCTCCTCTCCCTCCTCCCCTCTTCTCCCTACCTCGTCCCCTCTCACACCTCCCCTCTTCTCCCCTCTCCTCTCTCCCCCTCCCCCCAGGTCGTCCTGCTCTCCCTCATCGTCTTCCTCGCGTGGCTCATCACTGGTTACATCGGCACCTTCCCCTCCTCCTGGCTGCCACGTGGCATGACGCCATTCGAGCTCGCGCTGCAGTTCGGCATTGCGGTGCTGGTGATCGCGTGCCCGTGCGCGCTGGGCCTGGCCACGCCCACGGCGGTGATGGTGGCCACGGGCGTGGGCGCGCAGCAGGGCATCCTCATCAAGGGCGCCGACGCGCTGGAGAGGGCGCACAAGGTGGGGCGCGGAACAGTGGGAGCAGGGGGAGCAGTGGGAGCAATGGGAGCAGGGGGGGTGCGGTGTGGAGTGAGCATGGAGGAGGGTGATGGGACGTGGAGGGTGCGGACTTTGCTATGTGATGCTCGTAGCAGTGTGCCTTGAGTCTCGCAGCTCACCGAACGTTCTAGTGCCCTGCCGAATGCGTGTATGCCTGTGCTCTCACTTGCAGTGTGTAATCTCCTCTCTCCTCCCTCGTCTCCTCTCTCCCCTCCCCCTTCGTGCGTGCTGTCCACGGCACCAGATCGAGACAGTGGTGTTTGACAAGACGGGCACGCTGACGCAGGGCAAGCCCACCGTCACCGCCACCGCGCTCTTCACCTCGCGCCTCTCCATGCCCGACCTCCTCGCACTGCTCGCTGCTGCTGAGGTACGCCCTCATGCCAGATGCCATGTCTGTCATGTGCCAGGTGCCAGGTGTGTCATGTGCCAGGTGCCATCTATGTCATGTGCCAGGTGCCATGCCTTGGCCTTCATTTGCCCATCACACTCGCATTTCTACCTCCCCTCTTCCTTGCATGCATCATCTTCCTCCGTCTCCCCTCCTTCTCACACCCACCTCTGCCTTCCCTGCCCTCCACCATCCCTGCCGCCACCCCCCCCCACCACAGGCCAGCAGCGAGCACCCTTTGGCCAAGGCCATCGTCGACTACTGCATGCACTCGCCTCTCCTCCCCGCGTCCCTCCCCTCCCTCTCCCATATCCCACTCCCCCCGCTCCCCCTCCCCTCCTCTATCTCCACCACCTCCTCCTTCTCCTCCCAGCCTCTGCTCTCGCGTCCTGTCTCTGCTCCTCCCTCGCCTCCCTCATCCCCTCCTCTCCTCCCTTCCTCTCATCCTGTCGCCGCTGTCAAGCCGTGCTGCCGCTCCTCTGGCCCCTCCACAGCGGCTGCTGCTGATGATGCCACCGATAGCAGCACGAGAACAAGCATTGACAGGAATGGGGTCGCCACTGCTGACACCACCACCGCCGCCACCACCACCACCACCACCGCCGCCGCCCCCAGCAGCAGCAGCAGCAGTGGCAAGGGCGGCCTCTCTTCCCTTCCTCCACTGGACTCCTTCCTGTCCATCCCCGGCCATGGAATCGTCTGTCAAATCAGCGGCCGCCACATGGCAGTGGGCAATCTGAAGCTCATGCGAGACCCCCCCACACCCGAGCCCTCATCCGAGCCTCCCTCCCCCCCTCTCCCCTCCGTCACCCCCCTGCCGGTGCTGCCACAAGCGCAGCAGTGGCTGGAGGAGGTGCAGGGGGAGGCGCAGACGGGGGTGCTGGTGGCGCTGGACGGCCAGGTGGTGGGGGGCGTGGCGGTATCAGACCCTGTGAAGCCCGAGGCGGCGCCCGTGGTGGCGCTGCTCAAGGCCATGGGCATGCGCCCTGTGCTCGTCACCGGGGACAACTGGGGCGCCGCCAGGGCGGTGGCGCGCGCGGTGGGGATAGCGGGGAGCGACGTGGTGGCGGAGGCGGTGCCGCAGCACAAGGCGGAGTATGTGCGGCAGCGGCAGGCGGAGGGGCAGCAGGTGGCCATGGTGGGCGATGGCGTGAACGACTCGCCGGCGCTGGTGGCAGCGGATGTGGGAATGGCCATCGGAGCGGGCACGGACATCGCCATAGAGGCCGCTGATGTGGTGCTCATGCGGTCGTCGCTGGAGGATGTGATCACGGCCATCCATCTGGCGCGCAGGGCGCTGGCTCGCATCCGCCTCAACTACGTGTGGGCACTGGGGTATAACCTGCTGGGCATCCCCATTGCCGCCGGGGTCCTCTTCCCCACGCCTCTGCATTTCCGCCTGCCCCCCTGGATTGCCGGCGCTGCCATGGCTCTGTCGTCCGTGAGCGTGGTGTGCTCGTCGCTGCTGCTTCGCCGCTACAAGCGCCCTGCAAAACTGGACCTCATTGCACTGCGGGTGGACGGCTGACGCACAGAGGGCCAGAGGCTCGGAGGAGGGGGGCACAGCCGAGGAGCTGAGAGCTTTGAGTGCCCGTGAATTCTACCGTTCCTCTCCCAGGCGCTGCATATGTGGGTCCAGCATAGGTAGCAAACTCGGCATGAGCTTTGGCTTCGATAGTTTTGGGTCTTGTTCATGGTATATCCATCTGTAAATAGTTGATTGCGGTCTGTCCAGTTTCACTTTTTGTGTATGTGGTAGTACTTTTGATGTTCAGTGTTGCCACTATCAATTGTATCATGTCGACGACACGCTATTATGGGTATCAGGCAAGCAGATAATCCAGTGAACCATTATTTGGTATGCGGGATGAGGCTGCATGGAGCAACTGAGTTAAGGCGTGCACACTGCACACCAAGTTAGAAGCACCAATCTCCTCTCCGGAGGTGATTGGTGTGTGATGGAGAAAGGGGAGGCGTTCTCTACTCTGGCCATGGCATTGCACTTACTTCTTAGCATGCTTATGCATGAGCGACTGATCCACGGTATATCTGTCAAACATAACTTATGCAGTTACTGTAGACTATATATGCTTGTGCCTTAGTGGGTACAGCTCACTAGTCTATATTGCCTTGTATCTCCCCATTCTAGTCATTATTCATTCTGATATGGTATCATAGTAGGTTAGGTCCCCCCCCCCTAGCCCGCCCACGCTTCCGCCCCTAGGCCCTAGCCGCCGCCGCGCCCGCCCCTAGCTGGCCCCCCCTGGCCGTCGCACCCGCCCCTAGCCGGCCCCCTGGCCGTCGCGCCCGCCCCTAGCTGGGCCCCTGGCCATCGCGTCCGCCCCTAGCCGGCCCCCTGGCCGACGCGTCCGCCCCTAGCCGGCCCCCTGGCCGTCGCGTCCGCCCCTAGCCGGCCCCCTGGCCGTCGCGCCCGCCCCTAGCTGGCCCCCTGGCCGTCGCGCCCGCCCCTAGCTGGTCCCCTGGCCGTTCGCGCCCGCCCCTAGCTGGCCCCCTGGCCGTCGCGCCCGCCCCTAGCTGGCCCCCTGGCCGTCGCGTCCGCCCATAGCCGGCCCCCTGGCCGTCGCGCCCACCCCTAGCTGGCCCCCTGGCCGTCGCGCCCACTCCTAGCCGGCCCCCTGGCCATTTGCGCCCGCTCCTGGCCAGCCCCCTGGCTGTTCGCGCCCGCCCGTAGCCGGCCCCCTGGCCGTTCGCGCCTGCCCCTAGCTGGCCCTCTGGCCGTTCGCGCTCGCCCCTAGCCGACCCACTCACCGTCACGGTCGCCCCCAGCTGTCGTCGCAGCCGCCCCGAGCCGTCGCGGCTGCCTCTAGCCGCCGTCGCGGCCGTTTCCCCCCGTCCCACGGCCGCCCCTCGCCGTCGCGCCCGCCCCTAGCCGCCGTCGCGCCTGCTCCTCGCCGTCGCGACCGCCCCTAGCCGACGTCCCGGCTGTCCCTAGCCGCCGTCGCGGCCGTGTCTACCCACCGTCGCGGCCGCCTCTACTCGCCGTCGCGCCAGCTCCTAGCCGGCCCCTGCATTCGCGTCGTCGCCAGCCCGCCGCCGCCTCGGGTTCGGCCCGTTCTTCCCGATCAGCACCGCCTTGCGAACCCCTCGGTACCGTACTGCACCGCACTGCACTGCATTGTACCGCACTGCACCGCATTGCACCGCACTGTATTGCACTGCACCGCACTACGCCGTACTGCATCGCACTGTACTGCTCTACACTGCCCTCTATTGTCACTGATGGCGGAGGTGCTTCGCTTTGACGCTGAGGGCCAGCCGATTGAGTTTGATGCGTGGCTTGCTGACCTCCGTCGCCACCTCACTGGTCAGCGGCAGGATGGCCACTCGCTGTCTGTCCATCTTGACAGTACCCTCCCCTGCCCTGACCCCCCCGTTGCGCTGTCTCCTGACCCCTCGTCCACTGAGCGTGAGTCCGCTGCGGCCGCTGCCCTTGCTCGCTCTATCTGGCTTTCCCGTGACGCTGTCGTACAGCTTGCTATTAGCAATGCCCTCCCCCTGTCCGAGCGACCTCGCTTCAGGTCTATCACCACTGCCCAGGCTTTCCTAGATGCTGTTGTCCAGCACTATTCCACCCCGCCTGCTGCCTCGGTAGGTCGCCTGATCCTCCCCATGCTCTTCCCTGACCTTGCGTCGTTCCCCACTGTCGCCGACCTGGCCGCTCACCTGCGCACTATAGATGAGACATGGCGTGATGCCTGCACTGTCACACAGCTTCTAGCCCACCAGCCGCCCCTCACCTCTACTCTCTACCTACTAGCCACCCGCCTCCCTGACCGTCTTGCCACTGCCCGTGACCACTTCCTTAGCGTCCACCCTGCAGACCTCACCCTCACTGACTTTGTTGACACCCTGTTCGCTATAGAGGCCCGCCACCGCTCTATCACTCAAACCAGCGGTACTGTGCCGGTCCCTATCTTTCAGGGTTGCGCCCCCGCTCAGTGCACCTTCTCCGACGGTTCTGCTGCTATGGCTGAGACTGCCGCTGCAGCACAGGTCCGTCCGGGGAAGGGTCGCCGCCCCAAGGCTGGGCGTGGCGGCGGGGGTGGGGGTGCAGGTATAGGTGGTGCTGGAGCTGGGTCTTCCGGCAGTGGTGCGGATTAGGGGACCCTGACAGGTGCAGCCGAGCAGCCGTCTCCGCAGCCGCCGGTGTTGCACCTGGACCCGCGTCAACCGCAGCAGCAGCAGCAGCCGCAGCAGTCGTAGCAGTCGCAGCAGCAACAGAGACGGGCGAGTGGTCTCCCGCCCGGGTGGCCTGGAGCTGGTGGTAGCGCTGGACGTGGTGGTGGTGCGCGTGGTGGGCTGCCGGGTGGTGGTTCGGGTGACGCGCGCTGTCAATACCAGCTCCAGACCGGTCCTCGCCGTGGCTTAGTTTGCGGTAAGATCGGTCACACCTCCGTCCGCTGTTTCCGTCGCCTGGATGACCTGTTTCGTCAGCGCTTCGGCGAGCTCCCGGACTGGCACAGCTTGCTTCGTCGTAGGGTTCAGATTTTTGATCTGGATATGGATGAGATTGTTACTGCTCTGCATGTGATGTATGCTGATGACTCTAGTGTGCTTCAATCTTATTACCCCTTGTTGCCTAGTGTAGGTGTGCCTTGCTTAGACTCCCCTGCTGCGTCACGTGTAGGATCCTCTACTTTGTTTAGCCTTGGTGCTTTTGTCACTGCTTCGCCTTCGGCCGCCACTGGCGCACTCTCCTTCACCCTCGTCTCTGGCGCTTCCCAGTGCTTCTTCCGCGACTCTACCACGTTGACACCGCTTCCTGTCCCTGCCGCAATCTCTCTTGCTGACCCCTCCTCCGGCCCTGTAGTCGCCCGCAGTTCCACCACCCTTCCTTGCCCGGCGGTTCCCTCGAGCTCGCTCACAGGTCTGCACATCCCCTCGTTCTCCAGGAACCTAGTTGGTGTCGGCTGCTTTCAGGTCCTTGGCGTCACCACTACGTTCCCTCGACACGAGCGGTACGCTGTCTGTACCGAGGCCGTCACTGGTTCCCCCCTGTCCACGTTCCCACGGGACCCGGTGTCCGCTCTTTTCACACTGGACACGGTGACCCCCCTGGCTGGGACCCCCCCTCAGGCGGCTGCGTCTCCTCCAGTTGCTGCTGCCTGCTCCTGTCGGTCTCTCACCCACCCGACCCTTCTCTGGCACCACCGCCTAGGTCATCCTGCGCTCTCGCGTCTGCGTCACATGTTACAGCACGGTCTCGTCCTAGGCCTCCTCGGGTCGTTCCCCAAGTTTCCCTGCTCCCCAGCCCTACCTTGCACGCCCTGTGTCGAGGGCCGGCTCCGCCATGCCCCTCACTCCTCCTCGTTTCCCCCTACTGCAACACCGCTACAGACTCTGCACATGGACGTCTGGGGCCCCGCCCCCGTCCATGGGCCACGTCCAGAGTGCTACTTCCTAGTGCTTGTCGACGACTACACGCGCTATACCACTGTGTTCCCCCTAGAGCGGAAGGCCGACGTGCCTGACGTTCTCATCCCGTAGGTTGTCGCTGCGCGTCTCTGTCGCGGTCTCCCTGTCTTGCGCCTCCACTCCGACCATGGTGGCGAGTTTGCCTCTGGTGTCCTTGGTCGTTTCTGTCGTGCGGAGGGCATCACCCAGACGTTTACCTTGCCGGACTCCCCGCAACAGAATGGGGTCGCTGAGCGACGCATCGGTTTTGTCATGGAGGTGGCTTGCACCTCCATGATCCATGTCGGTGCACCCCATTTCTTGTGGCCGTTCGCCGTTCGCTACGCCGCTCACCAGCTTAACCTGTGGCCGCACCCCCAGCAGCCTCAGGTTTTGCCGACCCATCTTTGGTCTGGGTCCCTTGGTGACGCGTCCGTGTTTCACGTCTGGGGTTGCCTTGCTCACGTTCGTGCCCCTGGCACGGACAAGCTCACTGCTCGCACCCTTCCCTGTGTCTTTCTCGGGTTCCCCCTTGACGCGTCTGACTGGCACTTCTACCACCCCCCGTCTCACCGGTTCTTTCACTCCCGCGACGTCACCTTTCACGAGTCCGTCTCCTTCTTTCGTCGCTTCCCCCACCCCGGTCCCCCTGTTCCTGGTCACCCCTTCCTCGGTCGTCGCCGCCCCTCCTCCTCCCCCTCCTCGTCCTGCCCCCTTTGGTGTGTCCCACGTCACCCCACTTCCGTCGGTTGTCCCGGTTGAGGAGTCTGCTGACTCTGATGGTCCTGCGGCGCAGTCCTGGCTGCCTGCCCATTCTCAGGTGTCTCCTCCTCCGCCGCCTCCGCAGCTGCCGACACCACTGCTGTCGCAACCGCCGTCACCACAGCTGTCGCAGCCATCGGCACCGCAACAGCCGTGCTCGACCTGTTTCCCTTGTCTCGTGCTCTCACCCTATGTTGCTTCGTTCCCACGCGTCTCGTCCTCCCCTTCTCCCGTCGCCCCCTCCGTCCTCCCTTGTCGTTGCCCCCCACCCTCTATCTGACTACATGCGTGCCGCTCGTCCTCTTGTTCCTCGGGTCCTTGACTCTCTCTTTACCGACCCGTCTGTTCCGGTTTCGTGTCTTGACGCCCTTGTCGCTACGGTCGCTGACTTCGCCTCTACTCGCCACCTTGACTACGCCACCGCTCTGGTCTCTGACCCTACCTGTCCTCCGTCTGTCGGGGGTGCTCCTGCCCTCGGCAGTGACGTCCTAGAGGACCGCCAGTACGAGCTTGCTTTCCTGTCCAAGGCTGCTCCCCATATCTGCTCTATGCTTCTAGTCCCTGAGGGTGACCCTAACGCTTTCGACATCCCGACCCCTCGCACTTACGCTGAGGCGGTCTCGGGACCCTGGGCCTCTCAGTGGATAGCTGCATGGAGCAGGAGATGGCATCTTGGAGATCCACCGGCACGTACGTCGACGCAGTTCCCCCACATGGGGTGAACGTAGTCGATGGCCGCTGGCTCTTCAAGGTGAAGCGCCCTCCTGGAGAGCCGCCTGTGTTCAAAGCGCGCTACGTGGCTAGAGGTTTCAGTCAGCGTGAGGGGGTGGACTTCTTCCAGACCTTCGCTCCGACCCCGAAGATGACTAGTCTTCGGGTGCTGCTACACGTAGCAGCTCAGCATGACTACGAGTTACACTCCCTCGACTTCTCCACTGCGTTTCTTGAGGGCAGTCTACACGAGCAGGTCTACCTGCGCCGCCTTCAGGTGTTACACGATTGAATGACTCGAGGAAAGATTGCACTATTGATCAGTACAAGGCGCTTTTATACTTCCAAAGTACATCAGGTAACCAGGTTTATCCTATCCAAAGGGAATAGACCCTTCTAGAATATAGAATCACCCTGCATATAGCCACGCGAGGCTATTGGTTTTAATGGATTACGGCAGGATTACGCTAGATATAGCGTGTCAGTACATCCCAAGCCTGGTCGGTGATATAATTATAATAGCAGGATAAACCAAAGGATAATGGAAAATGGAGAAGAGGAAACCAAATGAGATGGGATAAAAGAGAAATGAAATAGGAAGGAAATAAGGAAAGGACAAGTGGTGTAACGGGGTCGTACTCTCACACTTCCCCCCCTCAAAGATGGGTGGTACAAGTAACACCCTGCTTGACAAGGTAGTCATGCAGAGGACGACAGGCGTTACCTATGTCGGACTCAGGTACCCAGCTGTCCTCAGAAGGATCATAACCCTTCCAACGGATGAGAAGTTCCACGGTGCCATTCCGACGACGGCGGTGTGCAAGCACCGACTCGACCTCGTACTCGGGTTCATTCTGGATGAGGACGGGCGACGGCGGCGGCGGTTGGCGTCCGACGAAGATCGTGTTCGGATCTCGATAGGGCTTCAGAAGTTGGACATGGAAGGCATTGTGAATCTTCCAGGTAGCTGGCAGGCGTAAGCGGAAGGTAACAGGAGTGACCTGTGGTTCAACGAGGAAAGGCCCGCAGAAGCGAGGTTGGAGTTTAGATGGGAGGTGGCTGATGTCCAGGTTGCGGGTGTCAAGAAGCACCTGGTCTCCCACCGTGATGGTGTGGTCGTTGTGATGGCGATCGGCCTGGCGCTTTTGTTGCTGCTGAATGTCCAGGAGGCGCTTGTGGGTCCGATCCCAAAGCTGATGCATGGTTGTGATGAAGTCGTGTACTGGTTGGACTGTTGCTGATGTTATCGGTTTCTGTGGTGTGAGTGGGTGGCGTCCGTAGCAGAGGAAGAACGGTGTCTGTCCAGTAGCGGCATGTGTAGCGTTGTTGTAAGCAAACTCTAGAACAGGCAGGTGCAAGTCCCATTTGGAGATCTCGTCCTTGCAGGCTGCTCGGACGAGTTGCTCAACAATTTGGTTGAGGCGCTCGGTCTGTCCGTCTGTCTGCGGATGGTAGGCGGATGACATGGCAAGTTTGGTCCCGAGTAGAGACATAAGTTCCTTCCAAAACTTGCTGGTGAACTTGGGGTCTCGGTCGGAGATAAGTGTGGTTGGAATGCCATGCTGTGAGATGATGTACCAAACGAATAGCTGTGTTGTCTCCTCGGTGCGTGCTGTCGTGTGTGTCGGGATGAAGTGTCCCATCTTGGAGAATTTGTCGATGATGACAAGGATTGCGTCATGACTGCTGGTGGTAGGTGGTAACCCGGTGATGAAGTCCAGGCTAACCACTTGCCATGGTTGTTCTGGGACAGGAAGAGGCTGCAGTAGTCTCGCCTTTTTCTGCTTGCTGCTCTTCATCCGCTGACATGTATCACACGAGGTGACGAATTTCGGAACATCCACTACCAAGTGGGGCCAGTAGTAGTGTTTTGCAATACCGGTCCGCGTTTTGTTGCTACCGAAGTGTCCGGCGTAGAGGACGTCGTGGTATTCTTCGAGTAGTAACTGGCGCAAAGGAGGGTAATTGGGTACCTAGATTTTTGTTGATCCTTTCCGGTACGCGATGTCACTGTCCCACTGTAGCAGATGTCGCTTTTCTGCCAAGGGAATTTCGGGGTCAATGGCGTACCCGTGTGTGAAGAGTCCCTTGAGGAGTGGATTCATCCATTCGATCTGAATAGCGGCAACGTGTAAAGGCCGGCTGAGGGCGTCTGCTTTGTTATTGTGGCCGGGCTTGTACACGATGTCGTAGTGGAAGTGTGTCTCGAGGAAGTCGATCCACCGGACCTGCCGCCTAGAAAGGTTTGGTTGTGTCTTCAAATATTTCAGGCTGCAGTGGTCGGTGTAGACGGTTGTTCTTCGTCCTTCGAGATAACATCTCCACGCTTTGAAGGCGATGACGATGGCAAGGGCCTCTTTGTCGTGTATTGGGTAGTTTAGTTCTGCCCCGTGCAGTTTCTTGCTGAGGTAGGCGATTGGTTGCAGTCCATTTCCTTGGTCTTGCATTAAGATTGCTCCCACTGCCTGGTCGCTGACGTCAGCTTCGATAACGTAGTCGCGTTCGGGATCTGGCAAGATGAGTACTGGTGCGGACGTGAGTGCTTGTTTCAGCTGCTCCACGGCTTCCTGGTGCTTCGGCTCCCATTTGTAGGGTGTGTTCTTCTTCAGCAAATCCGTGAGTGGTGCTGCGAGTCTCGCATACTGTGGTACGAACCTGTTGTAGTAATTAGCGAAGCCTAGGAACTGTTGTAACTCCTTCACATTCTCGGGTGTCTTCCACGTACGCACGGCTTCGATTTTCTTGGGGTCGACGTGAACTCCTTGAGCGCTCACCATGTGTCCTAGGAACTGGACCTTCTCAAGGGCGAATTCGCTCTTGGACAGTTTGACGTAGAATCGTTCTTGTCGAAGAGTTTTGAAGACGCGTCGCAGGTGTTCGACGTGCTGCTTCATGTCGCGCGAGTAGATGAGGATGGCGTCCAGGTATACCACCACGCACTCGTCCAAAAGTATTGTAGAATGTGGTTCATTTCGGCTTGGAATATTGCCGGTGCGTTGGTGAGTCCGAATGGCATTACCAAATACTCGTACGATCCATACCGAGTTCGGAAAGCAGTTTTGTGGATAGAGCTGTCCGCCATCCTTATCTGCCAGTATCTGGACCGCAGATCCAGCTTGGAAAATACCGTAGCTCCCCGAAGCCGGTCGATCAGGTCATCGATTCGCGGTATCGGATATTTATTCTTGATGGTCTGCTTGTTAAGAGCTCGGTAGTCGATGCACATGCGCAGGCTTCCGTCCGGTTTCGGTGTGAAGAGTACTGGGGCACCGTACGGCGAAGTGGATGGTCGGATGAGTCCTTTGGCTAGGAGATACCTGATCTGTTTTTTCATGTCAGCCAGCTTTGTAGGGCTGAGCCGATATGGTGCTCGGAAGGTCGGCTTCGAACCCGGTTCCTCCACGATCTCGTGTTGATGTGTTTGGTATGGCGGTAGCTCGTTCGGAAGATCGTATGGAAGAATGTCTTGGAACTCCTTCAATAATTCCTTGATCTTTCTTGGAGGTTTCGAGGTCTTCTCCTCGTCGTTCTCCACCTCTTGTTGCTATCGCTAGGAACCTGGTTTCGGTTCGCTTCTCGTCCTTCTCGAATCATGCGAGTGTCTCCACTAGGATATCTCCTGTATCGTCCCAGTTGGGTAGCTGTACTCTCCGTCCATTGTTGTAGATGCTTGCGGTGCGGTTCACCCAGTTGATCTCGGGGTTGAATCTTTTTAGAAAGTCTCGCCCGAAGATCAAGTCAAGCCCTTTGATGTTGGTGATGGGGAGTGCAGGTCTCCAGCGCAGTGGTCCGATTTGTAGGTGTAGCACTGCTTCGTCGTGTACTGGTAACTTGCTTCCGTCCACCATCGTTGCAGAGAATCCTGAAGGCTTGTACTCTTCCCGAAGTCGGTCGATTATTGCTTTGTCGCAGATGGTGTGTGATGCTCCGCTGTCCACGAGTGCTTGGAGGCGTCGTCCTTTGCAGATGACCTCGAGCACGAGGGGCAGTCGTTGCTCGAAGTACCCAAAGATAGTTTCATTGATTGGGTCATAGGGTACATCCCAATATTCCGTACACACCTTTGTGTTGCTATCTACTCCTGAGCTGGCAGCTGGCCGAGGCTGCTTGGAGAACGGCTCTTCTCCAGGGCCCGGAGTTTCCTTGACGACTGTGCGCGTCACTGATGCCGAAGAACTGGATGCATCCGGAAGAGGAGTTCGGGGTTTGTGCAGCTTCTTGTAGACCCCCAGCTTCCTCTTGAGCTGCTTCAGCTCCACCGACGTCTTCCCTGGGGAACGGGTAGTCGTTGTGGGCTGGTGTCGGGAGAGGATGTTGACTCCGTGGAAAGGTCGGCTTCTTTCCACACTCCTTAATTTTTTCCCCAAGTTTTCCGGTACCGGTATAATCTCCACAGCTGTCTGCTTCTTTTGGAGTCCTTCCCGAATTTTCTCCAAGGCTCTAGCCCCTCGAAAATCATAAGTTTTCATTAAAGCATCTTTATAAGATAACTTTAACGAATCCTTATAATTATAAGTTTCCCCATCTCGGCAGAGTCCTTTTTCGCGCAGTTAGATTTTTCCTCGGCGATTTTCCCTGGCGAAGACTGGTCGTGGGGTGGAGATTTTCCCCCATCATTTCCTCCTTCTCGCGTCGAATCAGCTTCGTCGAAGTTGATTTTCCCGGAATCCCGCGGCCGCTTCCGGATCTTTTCTTTTTTGCCAGCTAGATCCGCAATCACTGGCGAGTCCCGTTTTTTGGCTTCAGATTGGCCGAAGGATTTCCGCCACTGTTGCGTGCCCGATACTCTGCGCGTGCGGCTTTCATTTTGTTGGAGTCGAAGATTCGATGACCCGGCACCCCGCAAAAATCACACGTGTAGTTGGTGTTTTTCGGACGTGGCCGCCCTTCGAACCTGTCGACTTCCATCGGGTCGGCGAACGTGGGGTGAGCCGAGCGATCGCCCTGTCGCGTACTGCCGACGTGCGTCCGTCATGTCCCGGCGTTGACCATGTCGAAGCGCTCCGCTGCCGACCCGACGTCACTGTAGCTCGCGTAGTTTGACGCTGCTACTTGGCGTTTGACTTCGCTTCAGCCCGGCAAGGTACGACTATACTTTTTCCCGTTCGGTCAGATCGGGAATTCGGTTATAAAATTCCTCCATCTGTTGCGTGTACTGCGCTACACTCCCGAACTATCGGTGTCGATGATTTTTTTCCCGGGCAAGGAAACTGGAATTTATCGGCTCGAATCGTTTCAGCAGGTCGGCGCGGAACTGCTGCCACGTGGCTTCACCGTGGATAAAGGTACTGTTGCCGCCAATCCACTCGAGTGCCGGTCCTCGCATCAACGTCGCTGCGAGTCGTACGCGTTGACCGTCCCAGACTGGCAAGCTCCATCCGACGGCTGCGAAGTAGATCTCCATCCCGGCGATCCATCTGCGGGCGTCGGAGTTTCGATCGCTCGGATCGAACGGCTCTGGTGGGCGCAGTTTTGGAGCCTCCAGAAACTGTTGCGACTGCTGCGGTGTCGCCGTTGTCGAGTCGTGCTGCGCACCGGCGAGTCGAGTTACTCGCTCGAACTCGTTTCGCCATGCTTCGCGATCCGTTCTCATCTCCTCCTGTAGGGCTGCGATGCACGCGAAGAGCTGCTGGGTAACCTCGGCGTTGTCGAAGGTTGCCATCCTGTTCAAAACACGCGAGGGGGGGGGGGGGGGGGGGGGGCTGATTCGAAAAAACGCGGAGCTGGTGCTTACCAGAATCGGCGTCGAATTGGTCGCCCCCGGCGGTTTTTCAAGGCAGGTTTTCCCGCTGCTGCTGCTTTGTTGAGCGCGGCCGAGTGAGAAAAGCTCTGATTACCAAGTGTCACAGGATCGAATGACTCGAGGAAAGATTGCACTATCGATCAGTACAAGGCGCTTTTATACTTCCAAAGTACATCAGGTAACCAGGTTTATCCTATCCAAAGGGAATAGACCCTTCTAGAATATAGAATCACCCTGCGTATAGCCACGCGAGGCTATTGGTTTTAAGGGATTACAGCAGGATTACGCTAGATATAGCGTGTCAGTACATCCCAAGCCTGGTCGGTGATATAATTATAATAGCAGGATAAACCAAAGAATAATTGAAAATGGAGAAGAGGAAATCAAATTAGATGGGATAAAAAGAGAAATGAAATAGGAAGGAAATAAGGAAAGGACAAGTGGTGTAACGAGGTCGTACTCTCACATCAGGGCTTCACTGGTACCTTCCCTCCTAGGACCCAGTGGCTCCTGCGGCGCCCCGTCTACGGCCTGCGGCAGGCTCCCCGTGAGTGGCACGACACGCTGCGTGCTACGCTTGCTGACATGCAGTTCTTTCCGTCCTCTGCAGACCCCTCGCTCTTCGTTCATGCTGGCCAGACCCCGTTCTACATTCTTGTTTACGTAGACGACCTGGTCTTCGCCACAGCAGACAGGAACGCACTGGCCTCCGTGAAGGCAGAGGTGCTGAAGAGACACACCTGCACTGACCTTGGAGAACTGCGTCACTACATTGGCTTGCAAATCTCCAGAGACATAGCAGCGCGCACCAACACCTTGACTCAGTCACACTTGGTGCGCCAGGTCCTTCAGAGGTTCGGCCTTCAGTTCTCCTCCGCACAGCCCACTCCTCTGCCTCTAGTCCGCAGGCTCTGCGCTCCAGTTCCTGAGGAGTCGGCAAAGCCCAGTGGTCCTTACGCAGAGCTGGTGGGTTGCCTCATGTACCTGATGACTTGCACTCGCCCAGATCTCGCATACCCTCTCAGCATCCTGGCTCGCTTTGTGGCTACAGGCAGACACCGACCTCAGCACTGGTCTGCCGCAAAGAGGGTTTTGCGTTATGTTGCAAGTACATCGGGCATGGGGTTAGTGCTAGGAGGACGCAGGCCAGTGGTCCTTACTGGACACACAAACGCTTCTTGGGCAAACGACGCCGAGACCCTCAGGTCCTCGCAGGGCTATTGCTTCAGCCTTGGTTCAGGTGTCGTCGCATGGAGAGCTACCCGCTCCTCGTCTGTTGCCCAGTCCAGCTGTGAGGCCGAGATTTACGCCGGTGCCATGGCGGCACAGGAGCTCCGCTGGCTGACCTTCTTGCTCACTGACTTTGGTGAGCGGCCTAGCTCTGCCCCAGTCTTGTACGCTGACAACAGGGTCATGATCCTCCTGTGTCAGCAGCCTCGACGTGAGGGCAGAGCGAAGCACATCCAGCTGCGGTACTTCCTCCTGCGTGAGCTCGAGCAGCGCCGCCAGGCGCGCATAGTACACATGGCTTCCGGTGCCAACACAGCTGATATCTTTACGAAGGCGCTTGCACCTAAAGATCATCAGCGGCACTGTGTACAGCTAGGTCTTGTTCCTGTAGCCTCTCACTTGCTAGGACCTTGACTTTGTACTATCCTTTATATATATATACATATTACCCTGACTGGCCTTGTGTCCTCTCCCAGTGGCTGGACTAGTAGTGCCGCCCTGAGCTGCTACTTCCCTTATTAGGCACTGCCCGTATATAGTTTAGGGGGTGTGTCAAACATAACTTATGCAGTTACTGTAGACTATATATGTTTGTGCCTTAGTGGGTGCAGCTCACTAGTCTATATTGCCTTGTATCTCCCCATTCTAGTCATTATTCATTCTGATAATATCACCAATGATAACTGACTGCCTCAACAATGCCATGCTGTACGCATACAAAGCACACTACTTTCAGCCCGATACACTAACATTACAAGGGGAGACACAGCAATCCGCCGTACAAGCTCAAAACCGCTATGGATACCATACATCGTCAAGATCAGGGCAACTCCGCCAGCTTCTTCAGCTCCTGCAGGAACCCGGCGAAGCCGTCCATGATCTTTTGCATCTCGTCTTGGGTTCCCTGCACCAGATTGGGCCCAGAAACAGCAGCTGCCATGTCCTCGAGGGCGCCTTCAAAGTCAGCAATGGCTCTGAGCACCGACGGCTCCTCCAGCTCGCCGTACTCCGAGTCCGAGTCCGAGTCAGAGTCGCTGTCCGAGCTAAAAACCTCCACCTCGCCCTCACCTTCGCCCGCACCTTCAGTCTCTGCCTCAGCCTCCGCCTCAGGCTCGGGTACAGGTTCAGGTTCAGACTCGGATTCGGGCTCAGTCTCGGGCACAGGTTCAGGCTCAGACTCGGGCTCAGGCTCGGATTCGGGCTCAGTCTCCGCTTCCACCTCAGGGGTGGCCTCCGGCTCGGGCTCGGGCTCGGGCTCAGCATCCGCTTGGGGCTCGGGCTCCGCCACGACTTGCTCCACCGCCTCCTCCACCACCTCAGGCGCAACCTCCGGCGCTTCCTCTTCCTCCGCCCACGCGTAGCGAGCCCCGGCGAAGAAGGGGGTCGCAGTTGCTGCGAGCGCGCCCGCTCCAATGAACACGTGCCGCCGACTCACAAGCGTTGCACGCTCCTGATAGAAGGGAATAGGTGTGGAGAAAGAAAGGCCAATGCGTTGAAGGGGGGGAAAACGCAACCTTTGGCCGCAATCAATCTTTGACTCGAATTAGACGTCCAACCCCAAAACAGGGCTAGTGAACGCACCGTCGCAAACACGATGCATGAAAACTTAGAAAATAGGGCGTATAGTTACACATATCAGACAGCAAGGTCAATGCTTGGCGTCGATACTCATCAGCTTCTTATATTCGTAATGAGATGTTGCTTATGCATTTCATAAATACCTTTACTGTAGGAAGTTGGTACGTCTGACATAAGCTGGCATCCCGACTCTTCTGCAAAAAGTGTCAAAAGGTGGTGGCTCTACCCGGTTTGATGCTGTAGGTGAATGCGACACAAACATACCTCTGGCTGCTTCGCTGAAGCTGATGCGAGGACACTTAGTCGCCCCACGCATCTTGACTCCTGGCTGCACCGAGGAGCTACGCTCTGAGAAGCGAGTGCCGAGACAGCAAGAGGATGGACGCTGAGACGGAGAGCCATGTTTGGAGTAGGTGCTAGTGGAGATCAAGAACGAACTGGTTGCAAAATAGAAGGTGAAAGAGGCCAGGAAGACGGTGGCCGCGGATGATGAAGAATGGGGTGATGACATGGTGTATGTATGGAAGGGGCATCTGTTGGCAGGGGCAGGACTGTCGGTCACATTCTGGACAGCTTTGCTGCATGGATGCAGAATCGAGGGGCCATAGAACCTTCCCCTGCAGCCAAGAGCATTCGACCATGAGCACACGAATCACGCATCGCTCTCGCGCACTTCAAAACCAGCAGCTGTGTGGCGACCGTGACAAGCAGGCCTGCCATGGATCCACACATCAGCACGCGCAGAGATCTGACGTGTTGCCTCAACACACGGCGAAAGGCTGCTTGTATGAAATTTAGGGTACAAAATCCAAGAACGCGGGAAGAAAGTACACCAACCAGAAAACGCCAATTGGACAAGGCGTAGAAAGCGGGAGACATCCAAACCACACACAGCTTGGATGAACATGCTTCCAAAAACCTTCATACCTTCAGTGTTATGATATGAATGAACAAGCAGATTAGCGCGGAAATGAATAACGAAGTGTTCAATCACTGAATGACGATACAAGGAATGGCAAGCCAAGATATAGGAACACCAGAGCTAGTCTAACCATGAGATGGGAAGGTTCGGGAAGGAGATCGAAGGGTCTCCAAGTGACGAAGCGAGGCCCGGAGAACTCCCGAAGGTCGAGCCAGAAGGTCTGGAGTATCAAACCTAGAATTTTAATGATAAGAGAGAGAGAGTACACAAACATATACCTAAATGTTGTACTCTCTAGAAGGTGACCCTATACAGTCTATACAAACATGATAACTACACATGTTTGACACACCCCCTGGACTGCATAGGGGAATGTTCTAGACAAGCAGCTCAGGGTGGCACTACTAGTCCAGCCTCTGAGACAAGGGTCTAAAAGACCAGTCAGAAGGAGTACAGACAAGGCAAGAACGAGTACAGGGCGGCACTACTAGTCCAACCACTGTGAGAGGACACAAGTCCAGTCTGAGTGTATACATATATATATATACGACAGTACAAAGTCAAAGCCCGAGTAAGTGAGAGACTACAGGAACCAGACCAAGCTGTAAACAGTGCCGCTGATGATCTTTAGGCGCAAGCGCCTTCGTAAAGATATCAGCTGTGTTGGCACCGGAGGCCAAGTGTACTACGCGAGCCTGGCGACGCTGCTGTAGCTCGCGCAGGAGGAAGTACCGCAGCTCGATGTGCTTCGCTCTGCCCTCGAGTCGAGGCTCCTGACACAGGAGAATCATGGCCCTGTTGTCAGCGTACAGGACCGGGGCAGAGCTAGGCCGCTCACCTAAGTCAGTGAGCAAGAAGGTCAGCCAGCGGAGCTCCTGTGCCGCCATGGCACCGGCGTAGATCTCAGCCTCACAGCTGGACTGGGCAACAGACGAGGAGCGGGTAGCTCTCCACGAGACAGCACCTGAGCCAAGGCTAAAGCAGTAGCCCTGGGAAGACCTGAGCGTCTCGGCGTCGTCTGCCCAAGAAGCGTCTGTGTGTCCAGTAAGGACCACTGGCCTGCGTCCGCCTAGCACTAACCCCATGCCCGATGTACTTGCAAGATAACGCAAAACCCTCTTAGCGGCAGACCAGTGCTGAGGTCGGTGTCTGCCTGTGGCCACAAAACGAGCCAGGATGCTGAGAGGGTATGCGAGATCTGGGCGAGTGCAAGTCATCAGGTACATGAGGCAACCCACTAGCTCAGCGTAAGGACCACTGGGATCTACCGACTCCTCAGGAACTGGAGCGGAGAGTCTGTGGTCCAGAGGAAGAGGGGTGGGCTGTGCGGAGGAGAACTGAAGGCCGAACCTCTGAAGGACCTGGCGCACCAAGTGTGACTGAGTCAGGGTGATGGTGCGCGCGGCTCTGTCCCTGGAGATCTGCAAGCCAAGGTAACGGCGCAGCTCTCCAAGGTCAGTGCAGGTGTGTCTCTTCAGCAGCTCTGCCTTCACGGAGGCCAGTGCGTCCCTGTCAGCTGTGGCAAAGACCAGGTCGTCTACGTAGACGAGGATGTAGAACGGAGTCGAGCCAGCACGAACGAAGAGCGAGGGGTCTGTAGAGGACGGAAAGAACTGCAGGTCAGCAAGAGTAGCACGCAGCGTGTCGTGCCACTCACGAGGCGCCTGGCGCAGGCCGTAGACTGGGCGCCGCAGAAGCCACTGGGTCCCAGGGGGGAAGGTGCCAGTAAAGCCCTGAGGACGACGCAGGTAGACCTGCTCGTGAAGGCTGCCCTGAAGAAAGGCAGTGGAGAAGTCGAGGGAGTGAAGCTCGTAGTCACGCTGAGCCGCTACGTGTAGCAGAACCCGAAGAGTAGTCATCTTCGGGGTAGGAGCGAAAGTCTGAAAGAAGTCCACCCCCTCGCGCTGACTGAAGCCTCTAGCCACGTAACGCGCCTTGAACACAGGCGGCTCTCCAGGAGGGCGCTTCACCTTGAAGAGCCAACGGCCATCGACCACGTTCACCCCAGGTGGGGGAACTGCGTCGACGAAGGTGCCGGTGGATCTCCAAGATGCCATCTCCTGCTCCGTGGCAGCTATCCACTGAGAGGCCCAAGGTCCCGAAACCGCCTCAGCGTAAGTACGAGGGGTCGGGATGTCAAAAGTGTCTGGGTCACCCTCAGGGACTAGCAGCATGGAACAGAGATGGGGAGCAGCCTCGGACAGGAAAGCAAGCTCAAACTGGCGGTCCTCCAGGACGTCACTGCCGAGGGCAGGAGCACCCCCGACAGACGGAGGACAGGCAGGGTCAGAGACCAGAGCGGAGGCGTAGTCAAGGCGGCGGGTAGAGGCGAAGTCAGCGACCGCAGCGACAAGGGCGTCAAGACTCGACACTAGAACAGACGGGTCGGTAACGAGAGAGGCAAGGACCCGAGGAACAAGAGGACGAGCGGCACGAAAGTAGTCAGACAGAGGAGGAGACGCAACGACAAGAGAGGACGGAGGAGGAGACGGGAGGAGGGGAGGACGAGACGCGAGGGAGCGGAGCAACATAGGGTGAGTGCGCGGGACGGGGGATACAGGACGAGCACGGGAGGGGCGGCGAGACCAGACGTGAGAGGGCGGCGTCGGGTCGGGAGACAGAGGAGGGGACACGGGTGGGGAACGAGGGGGAAAACGAGCCGGGGACGAGTCCGGCGGAGGGAACACGGGGCCGTAGACGGGAAGAGGGGGAGACGGCCGGAGAGGAACAGGCGCAGGGTCAGGGGACGGAAGGCCGAGCAGACGGAGGGCGGACACCGGCGGGGACTGCTGCTGCGGCGACACAACACCAACGCCAGGGCCACAAGCTGCGCGACGGCTACCTCCCGAACCCTCCACACCGGCACCCCCAGAAGGGACACCCCCAGAGCCCGAAACACCGCCAGCACCGGTACCACCCCCAGGCCCGCGGGGACAAGCCACGTCAGGAGCCCCGGGACGAGTACCCACCTCAACTCCAGCACCCCCAGAGTCCACAAACAGCGGCAGCGACGACGGCGGCGGCGGCGGCGGCGGCTGCAGCGACGGCCTCGACGGTGGCGGCGGCGGAGACGACGGCTGCAGCAGCTGCGGCGACGGCGGCTGCGGAGGCGGTGGAGGAGGAGACACCGGGGGAGGGACAGACGGCGAGGACTGCGCCAAAGGACTACCAGAGTCAGAAGACTCGTCGACCGGAACGACCGACGGGAGGGGGGTGACGTGAGACACACCAGAGGGGGCCGGACGGGGGGGCGGGGGGGGGGGAGGGGCAGGGGCCACCAGGGAGGGAGGAACCAGGAACAGGGGGGAGTAACCGGGGACCACGGTGGGGAAAGCGGCGGAAGAAGGAGACGGACTCGTCAAAGGTGACGTCGCGAGAGTGAAAGAAACGGTGAGACGGCGGGTGGTAGAAGTGCCAGTCGGACGCGTCAAGGGGGAAACCGAGGAAGACGCAGGGGAGGGTGCGGGCAGTGAGCTTGTCCGTGCCAGAGGCACGAACGTGAGCAAGGCAGCCCCAGACGTGGAACGCAGACGCGTCACCAGGGGACCCGGTCCACAGAAGGGTCGGCGAAACCTGCGGCCGCTGGGGGTGCGGCCACAGGTTAAGCTGGTGAGCGGCGTAGCGCACGGCGAACGGCCACAGAAAATGGGGTGCACCGGCGTGGATCATGGAGGTGCGAGCCACCTCCATGACCAAACCGATGCGTCGCTCAGCGACCCCATTCTGCTGCGGGGAGTCCGGCAGGGTAAACGTCTGGGTGATGCCCTCCGCACGACAGAAGCGACCAAGGACACCTGAGGCGAACTCGCCACCCCGGTCGGAGTGGAGGCGCAAGGCAGGGAGACCGCGGTGGAGACGAGCAGAGACAAGCCAGGGGATGAGAACGTCAGGCACGTCGGCCTTCCGCTCCAGGGGAAAGACGGTGGTGTAACGTGTGAAGTCGTCGACAAGCACTAGGAAGAAGCGCTCGCGACGCGGCCCATGGACCGGGGCTGGGCCCCAGACGTCCATGTGCAGAGTCTGCAGGGGTGCGGTGGTAGGGGGAAAAGAGGAGGAGTGAGGGGCACGGCGGAGCCGGCCCTCGACACAAGGCGTGCACGGTGGGGCGGGGGATGAGGGAAACTCAGGGAACGAACCGGGGAGACCAAGGACGAGACCGTGCTGGGACATGTGACGCAGACGCGGGAGTGCAGGGTGACCAAGGCGGTGGTGCCAAAGGAGAGTCGGATGAGTGAGGGACCGACAGGAGCACGCAGCAGCAACCTGGGTGGACGCAGCTACCTGGGGGGAAGACCCAGCCGGGGACGTCGCGGTGTCAAGTGTGAACAGGCCGGACACCGGGTCCCGGGGGAAAGTGGTAAGGGGGACACCAGTGGCGGCCTCGGTAGAGACAGCATACCGCTCGTGACCAGGGAACGTAGTGGTGACGCCAAGGTCCTGGAGGCAGCCGACACCAACTAGGTTCCTGGAGAACGAGGGGATATGCAGACCGGTGAGCGAACCTGAAGGAACCGCCGGACAGGGAAGGGAGGTGGAACTGCGGGCAACGACGGGACCACCGGA